AGGAGCACCCAGGTACATAAAGCAAGTTCTTAATGACCTACAAAGAGATTTAGACTTCCACAAAATAATAGTGGGAGACTTTAACTCCACTGTCAATATTAGACAAATCAATGAGATAGAAAATTAACAAGGTTATCCAGGACTTGAACTCAGATCCAGATCAAGTGGACCTAATAGACATCTGCAGAAATCTCCACCCCAAATCCACAGAATATACATTCTTCTCAGCACCACATGACACGTACTCTAAAATTGACCACATAATTCGAAGTAAATCACTCCTCAGCAAATGCAAAAGAACAGAAATCATAATAAACAGTCTCTCATACCACAGGCCAATCAAATTACAACTCAAAGTAAGAAATTAACTCAGAACCACACAGCTTCATGGAAACTCAACAACTGGCTCCTGAATGTCAACTGGATAAACCATGAAGGCAGAAATAAAGATGTTCTTTGAAATGTACGAGAATGAAGACACAACGTACCAGAATTGCCAGTAAACATTTAAAGCAGTGTCTAGAGGGAAATTTATAGCAATAAATGCCTACCAGAGAAGTGAGGAAAGATCTAAAATTGACACCCTATCATCAAAATTGAAAGAGCTAGAGGAGCCAGTTTAAAAAAACCTCAAAAATTAGCAGAAGACAAGAAATAAATAAGATCAGAGCAGAACTGAAGGAGATGCACAAAAAATTCTTCAAAAAAATAAATCCAGGAGCTGCTTTTTTGAACAGATCAAAAAATAGAGCACTAGCCAGATTAATAAAAAAGAGAAGGGAGAAGAATGAAATAGATGCAATAAAAAATGATAAAGGGGATATCACCACTGACTCCACAGAAATACACACTACTATCATAGATTACTACAAACAACTCTATGCACATAAACCAGTAAACCTGGAAGAAATGGATAAATTCCTGGACACTTGCACTCTCCCAAGCCTAAACTAGGAAGAAGCTGAAACCCTAAAAAGACCAATAACAAGTGCTGAAGTTGACGCAGCAATTAATAGCCTAACAAACAAAAAAAGTCCAGGTCTAGATGGGTTCACAGCTGAATTCTATGAGACATACAAAGAGGAACTGGGACCATTCCTTCTGAAACCATTCGAAACAATACAAAAAGAGGGACTCCTTCCCAAATAATTTTATGAGACCAACATCATCCTGATATCAAAACCCAGCAGAGACCCCACACAAAAAAAGAAAACTTCAGGCCAATATCCACAATTAACACAGATGCAAAAATCCTTAATACTGACAAACTGATTGCAACAGCACATCAAAAAGCTTATCCATCACAAACAAGTAGGCTTTATTCTGAGGATGCACGGCTGGTTCAACATATGCAAGTCTATAAACATAATCCACCACATAAATAGAACCAAAGACAAAAAACCACATGATTATCTCAATAGATGCAGAGAAGGTCTTTGACAAAATTCAACAGCACTTTATGCTAAAAACTCTCAGTTAACTAGATATCGAAGGAACACATCTCAAAATAATAAAAGCTATTTAAGACAAACCTACAGCCAATATCCTACTGAATGGGCAAAAACTGGAAGCATTCCCTTTGAAATGCAGCATTAGATAAGGATGCCCTCTCTCACCACTCCCATTCAATATAGTATTGGAAATTCTAGCCAGAGCAATTAGGGAAGGAAAAAAAAAAACGGTTTTCAGTTGGAAACTCTAGCCAGAGCAATTAGGCGAGAAAAAAAAAAACAACGGTTTTCAGTTAGAAAAAGAGTAAGTCAAATTGGCTCTATTTGCAGATGATATGATAGTATATTTAGAAGACCCTATCATCTCAGCCTCAAATCTCCTTAAACTGATAAGCAATTTCAGCAAAGTCTCAGGATACAAAATCAAGGTGCAGAAATCACAAGCATTTCTATACACCAATAACAGACTAACAGAGAGCCAAATCATGAGCAAACTCCCATTCACAATTGCTACAAAGAGAATAAAATACCTAGGAATACAACTAACAAAGGATGTAAAGGACCTCTTCAAGGAGAACTACAAACCACTGCTCAAGGAAACAAAAGAGAATACAAACAAATGGAAAAATATTCCATGCTCATGGTTAGGAACAATTAATATCGTGAAAACGACCATACTGCTCAAAGTAATTTATAGATTCAATGCTATCCCCATCAAGCTACCAATGACCTTCTTCACAGAACTGATATAAGCCATCTTAAACTTCATATGAAACCAAAAAAGAACCCACATAGCCAAGTCAATTCTAAGCAAAAAGTACAAAGTTGGAGTTATCACACTACTGGACTTCAAACTATACTACAAAGCTACAGTAATCAAAACAGCATGGTACTGGTACCAAAACAGAGATATAGACCAACAGAACAGAACAGAGGCCTTGGAGGCAACACCACGCACCTACAACCATCTGATCTTTGACAAACCTGACAAAAACAAGCAATAGGGAAAGGATTCCCTGTTTAATAAAGGGTGTTGGGAAAACTGGTTAGCAGTTTGCAGAAAGCAGAAACTGTACCCCTTCCTGACACCTTACACTAAAATTAACTCCAGATGGATTAAAGATTTAAACATAAGACCTAACACCATAAAAACCCTGGAAGAAAACCTAGGCAAAACCATTCAGGACATAGGAATAGGGAAGAACTTCATGACTAACACCAAAAGCATTGGCAACAAAAGCCAAAATAGACAAATGGGACCTAATTATCCTCCAGAGCTTCTGTATAGCAAAAGAAACAATCACTAGAGTGAACCAGCAACCAACAGAATGGGAAAAAATTTTTGCAATCTACCCATCTGACAAAGGGCTAATATCTAGAAGCTCCAAAGAACTAAAACAGATTTACAAGAAAAAAACAAACAAACCCATCCAAACAGACACTTTTCAAAAGAAGACATATATGAGGCCAACAACCATATGAAAATGCTCATTATCATTGATTATTGGGGAAATGCAAATCAAAACCACACTGAGATACCAGCTCACACCAGTTAGAATAGCGATCATTAAAAAATCTGGAGACAACAGATGCTGGAGAGGATGTGGAGAAACAGGGACAGTTTTACACTGCTAGTGGGAGTGTAAACTAATTCAACCATTGTGGAAGACAGTGTGGCACTTCCTCAAGGACCTAGAAATAGAAATTCCATTTGACCCAGCAATCCCACTACTGGGTATATACCCAAAGGATTATAAATTATTCTACTATAAAGACATGCGCACACATATGTTCACAGTGGCACTGTTTACAATAGCAAAGACCTGGAACCAACCCAAATGCCCACCAATGATAGACTGGACAAGGAAAATGTGGGACATATACAACATGGAATATTATGCAGCCATAAAAAAAACAATGAGTTTGTGTCCTTTGTAGGGACATGGATGAATCTGGAAGCCATCATTCACAGCAAATTGACACAAGAACAGAAAATCAAACACCGCATGTTCTCACTCATTGGTGGGTGTTGAACAATAAGAACCCATGGACACATGGAGGGGAGCATCACACCCTGGGGTCTGTTGTGGGGGGACCAAGGGAGGGACACTTGGGGAGGGGTGGGGAGATTGGGAAGGGATAACATGGAGAGAAATGCCAGATGTAGGTGATGGGGTGATGGAGGCAGCAAACTACATTGCCATGTATATAACTATGCAACAATTCTGCATGATCTGCACATGTACCCTAGAACCTAAAGTACAATAAAAAAATCTTTAAGTTGGTTTTCATCTTTCTCTGGTATCTCCTTGAGTAAATTAATAATCAACATTCTGAATTCTTTATATGGCAATTCACAGATTTCTTCTTGGTTTGGATCCATTTCTGGGGAGCTGGTATGTTTTGGAGGTGTTATAAAACCTGTTTCGTCAGATTACCAGAATTACTTTTTTCTTTTTATTTGGGTAGACTGTTCCAGTGGAATGCTTTGGAACTTAAAAGCCTGTTGTTCAGATTGTCTAGTCCCATGGGGTGATCCCTTGATGTGGTGCTCTTCCCCTTTCCCTAGGAATGGGGCTTCCTGAGAGCCAGATTGCAGTGATTGTTATTCTCAGTCTATACCCAGTGGGGCTACCAGGCTCTGGGCTGGTGCTGGGGAATGTCTGGTAAGAGGTCTGTGATGGACTCCAAAAGGAATTGAATGAATTTATGATGATCTGATGGTCCTGATGCACTATCATGAGCAATAAACGAACTCTGAAAAATAAAACTAAAAAAAGTCAACATACTTTCCCTTCCTGTACTTGTATTTGAAATAATATGATCTTTAAAAGTATTTAAAAGCAATATATAGAAAAAAATGCATATTTATTTAAAATGAGGAAGTAGGCCAGACACAGTGGTACATGCCTGTAATTCCAGCACTCTGGGAAGCCGAGACAGGCAGATTGCTTGAGCTCAGGAGTTTGAGACCAGCCTGGGCAATCCCATCTCTACAAAAACATACAAAAATTAGTTGGCCATGGTGGTGTGTGCCTGTAGTCCCAGCTACTCAGGTGGGAGGACTGCTTGAGCCCAGGAGGGAGAGGTTGCAGTGAGCTGAGATTGTGCCACTGCACTCCAGCCTAGTGACAGAGCCAGACCCTGTCTCAAAAAAACAAAATAAAATGAAGAAATAAACTTTACTTTTTAGTGGTTCATTTAATGGACAGGTAAGGGTTTTAAACTCCATAAAATATTATTGTTAGCAAGAAAATAACAATCTGCTTTTATAGTAATTATTTCTTGAGGTAGACATTTCCTGTTTTAGGGAATTAGTAATTAGAAGGGATTTTTTTTTATCTGATTGGCATCAGATTTGGAAATAGAAGACTGGATGGTATCTAATTGCTATGTTTTACTAATAGCACATTTTTTTCAGCCTAGTGACTTAATGCTTTCTATTTATTACTATAAAATAATTTATAAAGCTAATAAAGCAGCACTGAAATTCCAGATACAATGCCATTGAAGTTAAAACAGTAATTATAAATAGAAAATTGTACTCACAGCTTTCCATGGAATTTTCTAGAAGGCTTACTGGAAACAGTTATCTTTTTCTCAAAGGGTAATAAAAATCCACAAATAATTAGCTGTCAAATGCAGAAAAATGAAAATGAAAAACTAACAAAAATTAAAAAAGATTTTTTTTCTGGTTTGTAAAAAAATAAAAAAACAATATATATATATTTTACATATGTAAAATATATGTTTTATATATATATATGAAAAAAATATATATGTATATATATTTTTTTCAGAATAGAGCCACACTATGTTGCCCAGTCTGGAGAGCAGTGGCTATTCACAGGCACAATCATAGTACATGACAGTCTCAAACTCCTGGCCTCCAGTGGTCCTCCTGTCTCAGCCTCCTGAGTAGCTGGTACTATAAGCGCACCCCACTGTACCTGGCACAGAATTTTTTTTTTAAATAAAAGTCTTTACAATGAATTGTTTCTTATTTAAAAGCAAACTATGAAAACATAATTTAACTTATTTTCTTACTGAAGTTTTAACCACTTTCCAAACCGATGTATCTTGATCACAGCCTAAAGCTTCTTGGGCCGTTTGTTGGGCAATTGCCTTATAGTCCATCTACCTGCAAAGTTTTAAAAACAAACAACTGATAAGAATATAATCATATAAAAACTTAAGTGCTCTCTTACATTTTAATACTATTTCTATAGTGGCTGTCACATATAAATGAACAATAATTACTTGCTGAATGCATGTATGCATGAACCCCTCTCTCCTTACAGTTTTTCAAATGAGAAACTGTGGTACAGTAGAAAAATCTAGACTTTGGAATCCGAAACCTGGGTCATATTTGTCTCTGCCACCTATTAATGTGAAGCATGTTACCTAATATTTCTGTTTTTCCATTTTTCTCAAGGTATAAAATTAGGATAATATATCTACCTTGTAGAATTAGTATGAGGATTAAATGAGATAATATGCTTAAGGTTCTACCCTAGTGCCTGGATGATAGTTATTCAATAAATAATTTTAATTTCTAACAGATTAGTCATGCTTCCTTTCTCTTATGAAGCATCACCATCTGTTGGTTATATGTTCTTGAGGATTAAAGTGAGTAGCAGCGGCACTAAGTGATCTGACCCCTGGCTTCCTCTTCTCACTGGTCTTCTTATTCACTTATCTCCAATCATTTGCTCTCCTGGCTATTCCTCAAATACAATCAAGCAATTTCCTACCTCAGGTTCTTTGTACTTGCTGTTTCTTCTGCTTGTCACCTACTTCTCCAATGTGTTCACATGACTGACTGTTTCATAGGTATCTCTGCTTAACTGTCACCTCCTCAGATAGGATCAAGTTTAAATCAACTCAATTTAAACACATTGACTGAACTCTACTTGAATTTAGAAACTGCAATGGACTGAATGTTTACGTCTCCCTAAAATTCATATGTTGAAATCCTAACTCCCAAGTGATATCAGGAGATGATTAGGTCATGAAGGCAAAGCCCTTGTGAATGGGATTAGTGGCCTCACAAAAGGGACCCCAGGGAGCTCACTGACCCCTTCTGTCATGTGAGGACACTGCCAGAAGTCAGCAGTCTGCAACTAGAAGTGGGCCCTCACCAGAACCAAACCATGCTGCCACCCAGATCTCAGACTTCCAGGATCCAGAACTGTGACAATTAAATGTATTGTCTACAAGTCATTCAGTCTGGTAATTTCTTATAGTAGCCCAAAAGGACTGAGACAAGCACTGTTGTAAGTGTAGCAACAGTTGCGAAAGATATTAGATACTATTTCTTCTGTGAATGAGTTCAGGAAGCTGCAGTCTCACTGGTCCTTTGCTCATTATCCAGCTTACAGTTAGGGGAAGCTGGCAGGTAAGGTGAAAACACAGAGCAGGATTCAAATCCTGACTTTGTCACTTAGTACCAGCTGTATTATTTTGAGTAAATCGCTTAACCTTTGAACTTCAATTTCTACATCTATAGAATGAGGATAATAATATCTATCTCACTGAATTATTATAAGGATTTGTTAATATATCTAAAAATGCTTGAAACAGTGTGAAGCCCTATACTGGGATAACAAAATGGACAAATGTAAATCCATCATTCAAAAAACTCTCCAAAGATCTGCCTCCTTAGCACTTAAACCTTCTTAAAGTTGAATTATTGGAACATTTCTTCCTTGCCGCTCACCTAAAACTCTTCAGGTTGGATCGTAAATCTATTTTCTCTTATTTAATTCCCTAGCAAGGCACAACAGGTAGTTGAGAGCCTCCTATATTTGAAAAGTTTTAGTAAACCGTTATTATAACCTCCTCCTCTTTCCTAGCAGAGTTCTGGTTTCTTTACTTTTCCTGACAGAGCTAATCCAGAATTTTAGTAACTATTGGGGATTCCCTCCAAATCCTTGTGGAAATCTCCATATCTCTTAACCTGTGTGGAAACAAGGCAGAAGTAGAGTTATTTTGATCCAGGAATTAGGTAAATATATTTGATAATTTCCTTTATATCTTTCTCAATGTCTTTTATCTATACTGTCTTCATTAGGAAACATTTGCTATATATATATGCCCCAAGATGAAAGAAAAAGATAGTGTGAAAAACTTTAAAAAATACTGTTTATAAAAAGAATCTTTGAGAAACGGTTTTGAAGCAACTCAGTTTAAAAAGACATTTAGGTGGAACGTGGATACAAAAATCTAACTTTTTAAGCTCATGTCATTAATGATCCTCGTTTAATCCCTGACCAGCTCTTGCATTAGTATATAAAACACCATTCTTGATTTCCCTTAGAAACCTACTTGATATTAATAGATCTAGAGACTTTGAAGATTATTGGAACATACCACTAGCAGGGTATGTCTTATTTTCAAATCATTAACTATTACTGCCACATAGACCTGTTTTTAATTGAACCACTAAACTGAACCTTATAGCTTCTGGACTTTTTCATTTGGTAAGAGAAAAAGGAAGGTAAAATTTAGTAGGCTACAAAGGGTAAAAAGAAGAAAGCGCAAACAGTTGTATTACCTGGTGATGGAACGTCGCATGAGCTGGAACATATTTAGATGGAGACATGGTCAAGGATATCTTCACTCATAGGGTCAGTGGAAAATAAACATAAACCAACATTGGATGGCCTCTTTTTTTGGTACACCACTTGGTGGAAACTGGATTCTTTCCAGCTTTGTAGCTAGGTTCACACCTGTTGTTAGTGGGTCATTACATCTGTTTGTATAATGTCCCTCTTTCTGGGCTGCCTGACTGGGTGCCCAGTCCATGCTGGGTCACTGCCATTCTTCCCTGGGAATCAAGGCTTCCCAGGAGTTTGTTAAATCCCATCCCTGGCCAAACTCTGCTCTCCAATCTCCCATCTGCTTTGTGTGTGAGAGGCTCCGGGGTGCGACAGGAAAGGCGCTGAAGAGGGAGCGGAAGAAGCGCTAAGGGGGGCTGCCTACTAGCTGAGATGATGTCTTATTTTTGGGAGGGGATGCTCTGCAAGCCGGGAGGCTGAGCTCATTTGGGAGGACTGGAGCTGTGAGGCTGACTCTCAGCGACCGGAACGACCGCCCCCAGCGCCCTTAAGTCTTCCTCCTCACCTAGTCCGCTCCCGCAAACCCTGGGACCGGCCGAAGGAAACTGGCCGAGAGTAGCTGTGACGGAGGTTTGGAGGGCGTGGGGGGCAGCGACTAGAACGCAGCCCAGATCCGCTCCTCCCAGCCCCAGAAAGGAGGGAGAAACTGCACCTCCCAGCAGGGGTCGCGACCTAACGCCCCACAGCATCCTCTTGCCCGGGCCGGGGCCTCGCCTCCGCTCGCGCCCACTACTGCCGCGCATGCGCACCGCAGGCCGGCGCCATGTTGGGGCGGTTTGAAAGCGAGCGCGGGTGTAGAGCTGCGCTGTGACGGCAGAGGAAGCTACGATTGAGCCGAGCCTGAGGCGGGGAGGTGTCTCGCTTCGAGTAACAGGCCTGGGCTTGCGGCGGAGAGCTGTGGAAGTGTGCGTTTTTTCTTTCTTCTTTTTTTTTTTTTTAATTTTGGGGCGTTAGGGGTGAGTTAGGCCGGAAAGGAGGGTTTCTTTTCGAGGGGTGTCCCATACTGTGACAGCCGAGAAGAGGCGAAAGGGGGGTGGCGAGGAAAGAGAAGGAGACGTCTCCTGAGGGGGGTCGCGTGTGGAATCTCTGTGGAGGGAAGACACTGTAGGGGAAGTGCCCCTTGGGCGAGGGAGGGTCCCGGGACGCCGCGAAGGGGCCTGACACGGCTATCTGGGGACCTGAGGTGGCGACGGGTAGGGGCTTGCGCTCTGGGGCGGTCGCCTTCGATCTCTTCTCCATTCTGTCCATTGCGGCGGTCCATTGCCCTGGCTGCTGAATAAATGGTTTCGGAGTGAAGAACATCTCCTTGAAGACCTTGTCTGTGTCTGTGACTAACGGCTGGTGGAACTCTAAAGGGAGGGTGTCGCCTGGATGTGGCTGGAAAAGTTGGAACCCACTGCGCTCCGTAGGGGAAAGATGCGCAGTGCAGGGGGCGGGTGACCTTCACTGGCTGGGTCCGTGGGTTCCTGGCTTTCTGCTGCCGAATGAACAAACATTCCCTTTCCTAACTTAGCAGTCACAGAGCTATTTCGAAGAGTTGTTCTTAATTTCCTGTGCGATATTCCCATTGGCCATTTAACACTGAACGTTCTGTTTTTGAATCAAAGGTAGTTGAAATTTCTTGTCAAGTTTAACATTCTGTTCTGCGTGATGAATTTTCTTTTGGAGATTCGAACTGAAGCCTATACAGAGGAAATGGTAAGATAAATGGAATTTGCATGAGATATTTGGAGTTCAAACTAATCCTGTGGCTGAAGTGGGGGGAAGTGGGTGGGTACCATACCTTAATAGATACTCAAAAATATTTTCTAAATCATTGATGAAAGAATCCACAATAATGAAGATAAAAAATCTACAATACTGTACCTCCACCCACTTCTCCCCACTTCAGCCACAGTTCGGGTATGTTCAGTGATTGTTGGAAGCAGTTTGATGAGTGCATAGGGGTTTGTTGAACGATTCTACTTTTGCATTCTTTTTTTTGGGGAAAAAGTTTGAAAACTTTTCATAATAAAACTTACGTTGTACATTTCCTTTTTTTTTCCTTTCTTTTTTTTTTTTGAGATGGAGTTTCGCTCTTGTTACCCAGGCTGGAGTGCAATGGCGCGATCTCAGCTCACCGCAACCTCCGCCTCCTGGGTTCAGGCAATTCTCCTGCCTCGGCCTCCTGAGTAGCTGGGATTATAGGCACGTGCCACCGTGCCCAGCTAGTTTTTTGTATTTTTAGTAGAGACGGGGTTTCACCATGTAGACCAGGATGGTCTCGATCTCTTGACCTCGTGATCCACCTGCTTTGGCCTCCCAAAGGGCTGGGATTACAGGCGTGAGCCACCGCGCCCGGCCCACATTTTCTTTTTGTCCGTCCTTTGAGTTGAAATATCTAGTAAATGGTATCACCACTTAAGGAGACCAGTACAACAGCTTTCTCTTTTAAGGTTTTGTAAAATAAAATCAGTAGCCTGTTCTGCATTCAAGGAGAGAAAACCTTTGGTCAGGCTTGTCTGACCTGCCCGGACCCTCGTTGCTTGGACCCCAAGGCCCGATCGAATTAAATGAGACGAAGTAAGAGTTTAGGCTTTATTAGGGAATCTCCGGGCAGACTAGACTCGTGCACGGGGGGAGAGTCAGCAGTCTCGTGCCAGTTTTTTTGTCTTGCGGTTTTTATAGGGGTAGTGGAGCTGAGGGAGTGGGAGAGCCGAGGTGGCGGGTAGCGGTTGGTCAGTTTAAACTGCTGGGCGGGAAGTTGGGGGAGAGCTGAGGGGCGGGTGGTGATTGGTTGGGTGGTCGCTGGGCGGGAGGTAGCTGGAATTGCGCCAGTCGCCAGCGGTGAGCCGAGATTGCGCCATTGCGCTCCAGCCTGGCTAACAAGAGCAAAACTCCGTCTCAAAAAAAAAAAAAAAAAAAAAAATTTTTATAACTTAAATATTTCTAAAATTAAAGCCAAAAATTAAACATTATAATATCATAGCATTAAGCCCTCAAAATTAATCCTTTTTTAGTATAGGAAATCCATTGATTTAATTTTAAAAAGAATGTCATATCATGGACTGAATTAATGCTGATTTATTCTGTTATTTCTTAGATTTTTCAAATATACATCCTATTACTGTACTGAGGTGGACAGGAATTCTCTCAATAATGGAAAAACTGTGAGAACAACACATTGAGTTGATTTTCACATTATTTATGCTTCCTTTAAAAGAGGTGAACTGAATCCATTTAACGTAATAATTGAAAATACAGAGGGTGGTACCAGAAACCAAGGTCAGGAAATGATTATTAACTATTTTAGGAAAAGTACATATTGCCAGCTCATTCCTGTATAAGACCTGCAGTTTATTTATAGATTTAAATATTGAAAATATACTAGTGTTTACAACATTGAAAGTGAATATTCTCCATTGTTGCATCTTGTTTTGAATACTTCATTTGATGGCTTTAAAAATTTTGTTGAACACTATTATCTGCAGCACATGCTGGTAGGCTTATGATTTGAAAACTATTATGTATAGGGGAATTTTAGGTATTGTGACGTCATAGAATACATCACCAGGAGAGAAAAGACTGTTCATAAGTGGTTTTTAGGCCTTTTTAAAAAGTAAGTACTCTTTCCTTGGTATTTTCCATGTATTTTCTCAGATAACTTTTGTATACATACTTCTAGGCACATAGTAGGTACTCAGAAAATGTTTTCTAAATCATTGATGAAGGAATTTACAATAATAAAGGCAACAAAAAATCTACAATTCCTAACAAGGAGTGTCTATTATAGATAATAGATTTTATTCTTTAAAGAAGATTATAAAGGTTGAAATATTTAGTAATTTTGTTTGTATATGGTCACTGTTTTTAATGACACCTTAACATTTTGTTTTTGTATTACAGTTATTTTTAAGGGAAATGAATAGAAATAATCCACTTTGAAGAAGCCATGGCAAAATCAAAGACAAAACATAGATTTTGTTCTTGGGAATCTTCAGTATCTTCGCTGCTGGCGAGCTGCAGCCTGAGTGGTAGTAATTCCTCTAATTCTGATGGCTCTTTTCAGTATAAAGATAAGCTCTACAGATCTGCTTCTCAAGCTCTACAGGCTTATATTGATGATTTTGATTTAAGCCAAATGTATCCTGGTGCAAGCACTGGAAAAATTAACATTGATGAGGGTTTTACTAATATGCCACAGTTCTGCAACTATAGTTACAAAACAAACAATGGTATGCTTTTGTTCTTTATGTTTTATTTATGTTCAGATGTTTTGAAGCATTTGAGAGATGTACTGTAGTATTGTACAGCTTGACATTATTTTTGTTATTTTGGAGTAAAAACTATTATAGTATTGGGATCTGGGTGTTTTTGTAAAATGATTATATAATTCTGTATGGAACAGTAATATTCACAAGATGTTAAGAGTTTGTCCATAATAAAACTTCCTTGAAGACAAGTTTGGAAAATGCATTTGTTAAAAGTCAGTTGCTACTTTACTGAACACTTACAGAATGATCCTAGAATGGAGGAAGTTTGTATTCCGCACTTAGAGGGATGTGGTGAATATATTCCGGAAAAAGGGAATCAGAACAGCTGTTCTCTCTGTGTAATCCATGCCACTGAAGGGTTTGTAGGTGATAGAGCAATTTAATTTTCCACCTAGTTTAATAGCATATTTTTTTCTATGCTCCAGTCAGTATTGAGTGACCAATGTTACTGTGATTGTATTAGTGTATCAGGTCTAGATGAAAAAAGTTGAAGAAACAATAAATTAGAGAACAGGAAAATTCAGGAGGTTGGAGAGAAACATGTAGAAATTAAGTAACACAGATTGAAAAATTATGTGAGAAAGAAAGCACATCCTATTTTATCAACCTATGCCTTTTATGCTTTTAAAGGTTTAGTGAGGATAAGGGAAAAGCAGCAAAATGACTCAAATTCTTAATTCTCATTTACTGTTGGATGTTGTAAAACATTTGTATATAATAAAGATAAACAGAACTGTTCTTTGTTTTTCAGCTTTTGAAAACCTTGATCGCAAAAAGCACTCAAACTTCATATCCTATAAAAGACAGACTACTAATGACATAGATTCTATGAGCCTAACAACTGATGATCTATTAAGACTCCCAGCAGATGGATCATTTTCTTTGACTTATGTTGGACCAAGTCACCGAACGAGGAAGAAAAACAAGAAATGCCATAGAAGACTGGGTTCATTGGACACTGAAAAGAATCCAAATTTTCAAGGACCCTCCACTCCTGTGGACAAAGATAACTTAGTTACTCCTGTTTTACGCACAAATACAAATGGAAAGCAATGTGGTAGGCTGAAAAACCCGAAACTTATCAATAGGACTAATAATTGCAAGAAATCGTCTTTCAAGGACAGTTCAGAACACAGACTTGAAAAGAATTATCCAAGATGGCTCACTAGCCAGAAATCTGACCTTAATGTTTCAGGGATAACTAGTATACCTGATTTCAAATACCCGGTTTGGCTCCACAATCAAGATCTGCTACCTGATGCAAATAGTCAAAGGGTTTATAAAATATTTAAAGATGATCAGTGTCCCCCTAGACATAGTCATCAGGCACAAGGAACTTCTCAGCTTGTTAATAAATTAGATTGTTTTGAATATTCTCTTGAACCCTCAAAGTTTTCAAATTCATTGAGTGATGATAAAGAATTAGTTAATGAATGCAAATGTGATTTTGAATATAGCCAGTGTCAATGTGAGAATCCGCTTCTCCCAGGACAATCCACACAACCGTTCAGTGGTAATACTTTGTTTATAGCTTATAGTTTTATTTTTTTAAACCAAAAGAAGTGCTGTAAAGTTGAAGTAATATCTGTGGCTTTTATGTTTTGTTTTCATATAATAGTTTTAGAATGCTTATAATCTTCATATACAGCATTTTGTAACTAGAAAATGTCTTTTCTCCCACTTTTTTCTTTGCTTGAAATGTCACATCTTAATTTGCTGTTATAGATGAATATACATTCCAGATTATCAGAATTTTGACTTGTTTGTGAGATTTTGTTATGCTTTGCATTAACTTTTTTCTTCAAGGACTAATAGTCATCTTTTAAAATTAGGTGACAAAATTGAATTGCTTATCTTGAAGGCCAAGAGAAATCTAGAGCAGTGTACTAAAGAATTACCAAAGTCTATGAAAAAGGATGACAGTCCTTGCTCATTAGATAAACTTGAAGCAGAAAGATCATGGGAAAATATTCCTGTTACTTTGTAAGTAAGTGACAATGGAAAAACTGTTTAGTTTTCCAAGTGAAAAATGTCATGAATATCTGATTTATATTTAAATGAATGGTAATAATACTGTAATTCCATAGAACATAGCTGTGTGTTACTTGCTTCAAATTGCATTTTTCATTTACTACCACAGGATGATGTAATGTTTCATAACCTTAGGTATGTTATATAACATCCGTCTTTGTTACATGTTCATTTTGTTTCATTATAAAGTATTGATAAGCATCTTTTTTTTTTTTTTTTTTTTTTGAGACGGAGTCTTGCTTTGTCACCAGGCTGGAGTGCAGTGGCACAATCTCGGCTCACTGCAACCTCCACCTCCTGGGTTCAGCAGATTCTTCCACCTCAGCCTCCCAAGTAGCTGGGACCACAGGCACGCGCCACCACAACTGGCTAATTTTTGTATTTTTAGTAGAAATGGGGTTTCATCATGGCCAGGATGGTCTCCATCTCTTGACCTCGTGATCTGTCTGCCTCGGCCTCCCAAAGTGCTGGGATTACAGGCATGAGCCACCATGCCCGACCAAGCATCTTAATATGAGGGATTAAAACCAGAACACATTACTTTTTAGAGTAGTATTATAAAATTTATGTTATTTTCTTCTAACTTTAAGTTTTTCCTCTCCATATAATGAGTTATAAATTTCATATTTACATTTTACTTTCCCTTTTAGTTGTTGTTTTCCTTAACTGATGACACATTTTTTTTTTTTACCAGAAATGCATTATTGCTAACCCCATATCATGCCTTAGGCTCTGATAATTTATTATATTTAGTTGTCTAAACTTTCATTTTGTTATAGACAGAGTCTGTCAGTTCCTGGATTCATTTTTTATTCTCAGTTGATTGTCTCTTTTCAGAATGTAGAGATTGACTTTAATTCCAATTTAGAAGCCTACTTCTGTCACTTTCTTGCTGTATGGCTTTGTAAAATTTACTTGACTTCTCTAAACTTTAAAGATGGAGAAATAATGTCTGCTTCAGGGTTGTTGCGAAGATTAATTTCACCAGAAAATGAATATGAAGTTTCTGAACTAAGATGAGCACTCTCATAAATTTTAGTAGTGGTGATGATTATCTAGAATATTTTATTTTCTCCTTTTTGCTTCATTTCTCCAGTTGTTTCAACAACATATATATTTAAACTTGGGTTGATAACAAGTTGGCGTTATACTTTAACTTCTCTTATTTTGCTTGTTTCCTAGTTGCTTATTTTATCAGTTGTTCTGTGTATTAATAAAGTATCATAGCTGCAATACTTTTCTTTTAATTGGAACCAAAATGGGCAAGCAAGTAGTATCAGAGGTGCTTAAATTTTTTGAATGCAATTAATATATTTTAGAATTTGATAATGTAACTTCTAGTTTGTATAGTTGATATTATCAATAGATTGGCTCAGTACCTTATGTATAATAATTCACTTTTGGAAGACTGAATTTATATTGTGATGGGTATATTTGTAGATAAAACTAGTGATGAATTGCTGAGAAGGAATAGATCTCAGTTTAAGATTGACAAATTATTGTAAACCTGTCATCAAAAACAAAATTAAATAGAAGTACTCAAGGTAGTATTCTAAGTGGTAGAGCAAAACCACAACCAGATCATTGCTTTTTCTAAAAAACTTTTTATTATGGAAAAGCTAACATAAATTACAAAAGTTGAAAAATAGTATAATGAAAAAGTTGAAAAATAGTATAATGTGTATCTTCCACCCATCTTTAACAATCCGGTAAATGTTTTTTAATAACAGACAGTCGATATACAAAGTTTTGGTAAAGAGTGGGGGAAAGGAGTACCTGATAGTATGAAAGAGCTTGTAAATTAGAAATCAAATATGTCAATAAAGAAGCATACTTGTTAAATAAAAACATTAGCATTGTATAAATGTTAAAAAAGATTCTTAGATATCTGAGTTCTTGAGTTACACATTTTATAGTAATTATGAATAAGAGAAATAGATTGAATTCATTTTTGTGACTTAATAGAATTTGATTCTGAGGACATTCTTGTTTTTGCTAGAGATAACCTTTCCTCTACTGTCCCTTGAATATGAGGAAATAAATGGGTATTATCTATTAAATGTACTAGGTACATAGAAAATTAATTCAGTTAGTTTATGCAGTGTGTCTATGAGATAGTTGGGATGACAATTGTTGAAACTAAAATTCAGATAAATTACCTAAGGTCATACAGTGAGTGGGACTAAGATTGCATGCAGGAATGTTAATTTCAGAATTATTTTCTCAGAATAATCTGTCCTTTATGTTAATACCAGTTATAAAGGCAAAGTCTGTTCTGTTGCCTTCAAGTAGGAGTTGTAACCATTCTAGTAAAAACTTTTATGAGTTTGTGAGGTTTTTGGTTATTATCTGGTAACAATGTTTAACTGGAAAAATGTACTGTTTATTTCAAACAAGGTGAGCTTTTGGAGCATAGTCTGTGGTTCAGGGCTTGTTTAGTTGAATACTAATATCTTCAGTTTCTTCATAGTGTTTTCTCAAAGCTTGAAGAGAGAAGCAGAGGGATAAGGGGTTGGATTCTGGTATCAGTTTAGGGAGAGGATGAGGGAATGACCATACAATATTAATATGAATCACATCCACGATGATTATTTCTTGGTACCTACTTGTACTTAAATGAGAATTCTTAAATTGTATACTGTTTACTTATTAGAAATTGGGGACTTAATTGCTATCTTGCATCCTTTAATTCCTCTTTAGCAAATCTCCTGTTCCTGTTAACTCTGATGATGGTCCTCAACAAACTTCAAGGGCAGAGAGTACTAAAGGAGTTCTTGAAGACTTTCTAAATAATGATAATCAGGTGGGTGAAATGAAAAGTTTTAAAACTTATTAAAATATTTATGAATAATACATAGATATTCTTAAGTTACTTAGATAATTTAAAGCAAAAAAAGACTCAAATCGTTTCCTCAAATACACATCATTTCTCAGAATTATTGATCATATTATTTTTTATAATATTTTAAAATTTTAAATTAACACATAATAACCATACATGTCTATGGGATACATGGTGATGTGATAAACCATGAATATATAGGGATCAAATTACGGTAATTTGCATATCCATCATCTCAAATAGTTATTTCTTTGTGTTGGGAACATTTACAATCTTCTCTTTAAGGTATTTGGAAATAAATGATAATTTATTGTTGGTTATGGTCAGCTGATACTGCTTTAGAACACTAGGACTTATTTCTCCTATCTAGCTATAATTTTTTATATATAAAAATTTTTATATATAAAATAATTTTAATATAAATTTTAATATATAAAAATTTTTATATAATTTATTTTTAATATATAAAAATTAATATAATTACATAAAATTTTAATATATAAAAATTATAGCTAGATAGGAGAAATAAAGTTTATTTTTCTTTCATTTCTGAAGGGAAAGGATTGGAAAGAAAGGAAAAATGAAAGAAAAAAAATAACAGGAATTGGAAATAAATTTATTATTTTTAGAAGACATGATGGTGTATATGCAAAATCCAAAAGAATCTATGATAAACTAACAAATTTTATATATTAAAATTGTACATAATTTTAATATATAAAAAAATTATAGCTAGATAGGAGAGATAAGTTCTAGTGTTTAGAATGTTCTCTCTCCCTATTCTTTACCTCCCTCCTACCTTTCCCAGTCTCCAGGAACCGCTATTTTACTCTGTACTTCTATGAGATCAGCTAATAAGCTTTCCCATATAAGTGAGAACTATGATATTTATCTTTCTGCTCCTAGTTAGTTTCCTAACATAATGTCCTCCAGAGTTATACATTTTGTCACACATGACAGGATTTCTTTCTTTTTGAAGACTGAATAATATACTGTTGTATATATGTGTCACATTTTCTTTACCCTTCTATCTGTTGATGGATACTTATGTTGAGTCTATATTTTGACTATTGTGAATAATGCAGTAAACATGGATGTGCAGATATTTCTTTGACATATTGATTTCATTTCCTTTGGATATATACCCAGTAGTTGGATTGCTGGATCATATGGTAGTTGTATTTTATATTTAATTTTTTGTGGAAACTTCATACCGTTTTACTGTGTCTGGCTGTGCGTGGTGGCTCACACCTGTAATACCAACACTTTGGGTGGCCAGGGTTGGAGGATTGTTTGAGTTCAGGAGTTAAAAAAAAAAAAAGGTCCATAGTGAATAATACTAATTTATATTCAACAAGTGATTATTTCTTAAAGGTAAGTTGTAATATGAAATCTTAAACCATAATAACAACCTTTTTTGTCTCTTTCTACAGTTGTTGACTTAGTCTGATTGTCTCATATAAGTAAAGTCACTTCACCTTGCTTTTGGTTACCACTTACATGGAATATCTTTCTCCATCCATTCACTTTAAGTCTGTGTGTATCTTTAAAGGTGAATGGAGTTTCTTTGTAGGCAACATATAGTTGAACAATGTTATTTTTATCCATTCAGGAAGTTCATCTCAAATTTTAAGTAGGGAATTTCATTTGTTCACATTCAAGGTTAATATTGATAGGTGAGAATGTATTCCTGTCATTTTGTTTACTGTACTCTGGTCCTTTGTATGTTCTTTCTTCCCCTCATACTGTTTATCATTATGATTTGGTAGTTTTGTGTAGCAGTGTTTGATTCTTTTCTTTTTCCTTTGTGTATCTGCTCTACCAGTAAGTTTTATATTTCCATGTGTTTTCATAATGGTTATTATCATCTTTTTGCTTCCGGATGTAGAATTCCCCTGAGAATATCTTGTAAGGCTGGTCTAGTAGTGGTGAATTCTGTTGGTTTTGGTTATGTAAGAAAGTTTATTTCTCTTTCATTTCTGAAGGAAAGCTTTGCTGGATATAGTATCTTGGCTTGTGATTTATTTTAATATTCACACAGGGTCCTGGAAACAGTCTCCCAAGAAACCAGGGATGACTATATATTGGGTTCTCCTCATGTTCTGTTTGGTTGAAATCATTTTTTTTTTTGAATATATGAAATGTCATTAAGGTTCTAAGAGTTGGAGTTATACAGAGATGTACCCAGAGACATTTACTAGGAGGTTTTACAATATTTTTTAAAACATTCATTAACATTGGCACAGTTTATATGTTTTCTAGTTTTCTATCTTCTTTTGATACTCACTACTTTGCGAGAAAAGTCACTCAGCTCAGACATAAATTCCAGAGGCAGCCTTTGTAACTATTATGGTTGGCCTAAGGCAGCCGAAGTTCTAAAATAAAATAGTGGCTGGATGCAGATTATTTGGAGATTATGCTTCAGATACTATCTCCAAGGGTGTAGGAGTATATCCCTAACTGGATCCTTTTACCCCTTTTTTTTTCTTTTAAAAATGTTTTTATTTTGTTATGGTAAATATACATATAACATAAAATTTAAAATTTACCATTTTAATCATTTTTAAGTGTATAGTTCTGTAGCATTAAGTACCTTCACTTTGTATGTAGCTATCACCATCGACTATCTTCCGAACTTTTTTATCTTCTCAAACTGAAACTTTGTACTTACTAAACTCTAACTCCCTATTTCCCCTCTCCTCAGCCCCTGACAAATAGCTTTTTACTTTCTGTCCCTATGGACTTGTTACTGTAGGAATCTTGTGGAAGAAGAATCGTTATATATGTATCTTGTTCCTATATATAGGAATCTTGTGGAAGAAGAATCGTTATATATGTATCTTGTGACTGGCTTATTCTGATTAGCATGTTATCTTTAAAGATCATCTATGTTGGCCGAGGCGGGTGGATCCCGAGCTCAAGAGATCGAGACCATCCTAGTCAACATGGTGAAACCCTGTCTCTACTAAAAATACAAAAACTTAGCTGGTCATGGTGGTGCGTGCCTGTAATCCCAGCTACTCAGGAGGCTGAGGCAGGAGAATTGTCTGAATCCAGGAAGCGGAGGTTGCGGTGAGCGGAGATCGAGCCATTGCACTCCACACTCCAGCCTGGGTAACGAGCGAAACTCGTCTCAAAAAAAAAAAAAAATCTTATGTTATAGCATTTGTCAAAATTTCCTTTATTTTTTAGACTGAATAATTTTCCATTGTATGTACATACTACATTTTGTTTATTCATTCATCTGTTGTTGAACTCTTGGGTTGTGTACATCTTTTGGCTATTGTGAATAATTTTGCTGTAAATATGGGTATACAAGTATCTACCCGAGTCCCTGCTTTCACTTCTTTTGGATATATACCTAGAAGGGAAATTGCAGGATCATTCAGTAATTCTGTGTTTAATTTCTTGTGGAATTCCTGTCCTGTTTTACACAATGGCTATAGCATTTTACCTTTTCACTCCCTGTTTCTTATATCCTGTTCATATAACTATGGAAGTGTCTTTAAAATCTTTTTAGCCATACTGCTTAACTTGAGTATCTTATGCTAATCAACAACTTTCTACAGAATTGAAGTTTAAGTAGTACTTATGGTGCGCAGTCTATGCTGAAATATGTTAAATTACATCTGTAGAGGCCTATTTGCTACTTGGTAGATAGTTATTAGGGCACAGAAACTCATTTGAAAGATGTAAAATAATAGACTGGTAAGACTTTTAAAAAGAAATTTTAAATATCCCTCACTTATTATCTTAAAAGAATCCTGATCACCTTATTTGTCTTAAGTACTGTTGCATCCTTTGAACACAAATAAGGTCAGTGGTAATCAAGCTATGAGTGTTATTTAGGTAGAAGGAATGTATGCCCCATGAAGGGGTGAAAAGCTAGCATTGTGTACATGAAAACATATTTGAAAGTGTGCAGAGGATACTATATTTGAAATTCTAGTCCCTGACAAACTGGAAAGAACATGTTGGTTTATCTGTCCTCTGAAGACCTTTTCAGTTCTAAAAATTTGTGATTTTACATGTGCTAAATGAATTTGTCATAAATATAAATTTGTGCTATTTATTTTAAAAGAGCAATGAGTAGAAAGGATATGCCAAACTGTTAATCATGATTGTCTCTAAGTAACTTCACCTGGGGATGGGGAAATGGTGAATTACAATTTTGATTTTTAAAAATACTTTATTGACATATATTGTTTGGATTTTTACGTTAATTTTCTATTATGGGAAAATAATACAAAATAAAATTCTTCTTTCCCCGAGTTTGGATGGTTAACTTTATACTATCATCTGTTTTAACCTTAGAGCTGTACTCTTTCTGGAGGCAAACATCATGGTCCTGTTGAAGCCCTGAAACAAATGTTATTTAATCTTCAAGCAGTACAAGAAAGTTTTAATCAAAATAAGACCACAGAGCCAAAACAAGAGATTAAACAAGTAAGCACAAACATGATTTATGAATTGAGATTTGTAAACTTGTATAAAGATTTTTACATCTTTTTATAGACATAGTTTTATGTTATTAAGCATGCCATATAACATGTAAGTGGCAGTAGTCTTCTTTTTTTTAGGAAGTAATTTACTCACATTTAATTCTGTTTGATTTCTATAGGTGTTTGTCTCAAAACAGATTGTTCTATTTAACTTACGGTTATAAATCCAACATCTTAGTTATGATGATGTTACAACTATGGTATGAAAGGGTTGTAAGAGTTGTTTTTTAATGAGCTACAAAATTAATCTATATGACCCATCTTCTGGTAGTTATATTTGGGGAGGCCTAGAAAACTTTTCTTTTCTTTTTTTTTTTTTTGAAACAGAGTCTTGCTCTGTCGCCAGGTGCCAGGCTGGAGTGCAGTGGTGTGATCTTGGCTCACTGCAGCCTCTGCCTCCCGGATTCAAGCAATTTTCCTGCCTCAGCCTCCCGACTAGCTGGGACTACATGCACGCACCACCATGCCCCACTAATTTTTGTATTTTTAGTAGAGATGGGGTTTTACCATGTTGGTCAGGATGGTCTCGATCACTTGACCTTGTGATCCGCCTGCCTCGGCCTCCCAAAGTGCTGGGATTACAGACGTGAGCCACTGTGCCTGGCTGAAAACTTTTTCAATGTTAGATTTCTCCACACACCTTTGTCATTTGAAATTCAATTTTGTTACCATGTGTTTATTGGCTATTATAAATACAGTTATATCAAGTTTTATTTTAGGGCCTTTTTATTTTTTCAATTTGTGTATCTCCTGGGAATTTGAAAATCTCTTTCTGTTTGGACTGCCATTCCATATGATGAATTTTTTTCCCCACGAAAGTATAGTGTTTAAGAACAGAAGAGTTTCTGTCTTCCCAAATATGATTGTAAAATCTATCACTTACTAGCAAATGCAGTATTTGTGCAAATCATTTAACCTCTTTAGTTTCAGTTTCCTTTTTAAAAATTATTTATTTTTAATTGACAAATTATATATATATATATATTTGGTGTACAATATGATGTTTTGAAACATCATGGAATTGCTAGGGAAGCTAATTACCTCTCATACTTTTGTGGAAAACATGTAAAATCTACTCTGTTAGTAATTTTCAAGTATACAACATTTTATTAATTTTAGTCACCATGTTATACAATAGATCTCTTGAATTTAATCTTGCCTAACTGAAATGTTGTATTCATTGACAAACATCTCTGTAACTCCCTGTCCCCACACCCAGATTCTACATATAAGTGAGATTATTATTCAGTATCTGTATTTCTGTGCTGGGCTTATTTCACGTATCAATTTCCTTTTCTGTATAGTGAGCTTATGGAGAAGATAAATTGAGACAAACTGTATAAAGTACTTAGTATAGTGCTTGGTACGTGGTAAATGTTCAATAAATGACGGCTCTTTTATTGTCATTGTTTTATGTTATTCAGTAGATTTATGAAATTTAGTTTTCATTGCAAATGAGATGATCAGCTTTTGAGAAGCTCCACAGCCTGTACATTTGAGGTGTATTTCTTAATTTCTGTCCTTACATTCTGATAATCATAACGTTAATATGTAGAGTTTAATCTATCCTTTCCCCTCTCATTTTAAACATCATTGAGATATAAGCCTGTTCAGTGAAGTCATAATTTTAAGCCAAGACTTGATTTTTAATGGACGTATATGTAGAAGTAGACTTTAGGGCAGTTGAGAAATGGCTGTTGTAGTGTTTTTACAATAAATGGAAAATAAAAATATTTAATGCTCTCTTGAAAATTATTTGCTAGAATTATTTGGAAATGTAGAAAATACTTTTTAATGTTTTAATCACATTTTAAATAGCATTTAGTTTCATAGTTATGTAATATTTTTAATATTTTGTTATATTTGGTGTTTTTAATTACAGGTTTCAGAAGATGATTTCTCTAAATTACAGTTGAAGGAAAGTATGATTCCTATTACTAGGTCACTTCAGAAGTAAGTATTTTTTGTTAATAAGGGTACAAATTCATCTTAGCCATTCCTTTGACTCAAATCAAAGTTACAGGGTAGAAGTAAGTAGTTTTAAGAGTAGCACTGCTAGGCATATTTAAGCCTCTTGGAGTATACTGTTTAATCACATTGAATAGCACTGTTTTCTTTTAAACTTGTGCTTTCTCCTATTCTAAATGTTCTAAGAACCTAATGAGATAGCCTTAGAGCCCTAAAATACAATGGATATGAATGACTCATTTTGAGTATTAATAGCAACAATTTATGATAGTATTTGTGTGAGTATCCTATAACAGTAACTTGTTATGAAATGTGTTTTCATATATTCTCTACAGAATAAATATAATAATAAATGGATGATTATTTGGAACATCACTACAGAAATCTAAAGTAGGTATAATGACCTGGATATAAAAATAGGTCTAATTTTTTTTAGTCACATTGTCTTAAATAATAAAATGGAGAAAAATACAAGTTGTTTCTATAGTCATGATATTGACAGAAGAGAAGGGTATTTATTTTGGAGTTTGTTGTATGACTATGAAGTGTCCTCAGAAGATGGAATGCTTTGCTTAGGAAATACTGAGGTTAAAAGTTTCCACTCTAATAACACTGTATCCCTTGGCAAGTACCTTTTGTACTTAGTATTTGCTTAGTCTTCTATGATCGAATGAACTGGTAGAAAAATAAAACACTAGACATAGAAATTTTTGAATCTAATTGTCATAAATACGTATATAGTTTTCATAGTCAAAATATATCATGTATGATAACGTTTTTCTCTCTACTTAATTTATTATCATCAGGGTGTAAATAATGCACCTTTGTTTGTAGCTTGCCATATACTGGGGTATAATGTTTCATACCTAGTAGAATTCAGTGAATAATGATAGTAATAACCAGCAAATGTCAGTTTTCTATGTGCTATTGAATATAATTCATGTGATCATCACAACCCTATGAGGTAAATACTATTATTATCTTCATAATACAGATTAGAGAAAAGGCATGCAGTAGTAAAGTACCTTGCCCACTGTTACATAGCTAGTAAGAAGTGGGATTCAAAGCAGGCAGTCTGATTTGAAAGTCTGTATTTTTAACACTCCTCTCATTAATAATAGTGGTGAATTACTCATTGAGACTAAGTGCAGGGCCTCAGTTGATCATCTAGTATGAAGACTTCATTTTGCTTTAAAATTTGAGGTGAATGACCGTAAATTTTCCATTGCTCTTTAAAGCATTGATACTGAACTTGTCACAGACCTAAATGTGTTTTCTGAGTTAATGTACATACCCTAGATGTTTTTCTTGGTGAAAATGAACACTGGATTGCAAGTCATTAAATCACCACAAAAATCAGTATTGATCTATAAGTGCTTTTACCATTTGGTCAAATTTTTTTTAATAGTAGCTTTTTCTTCTACTATTAACAATCAGTAGTCTTACCTGTATATGGAGTTTCATTTTTAGAGAGAGTAAGTTTACATTTTGTTAGATGGCCTTTAGTTATTAATCCTGTTGGATTAACTGAGCAGTCTTAATTTGCCTTTGCATTTCAAAAGTATTATCAGTAAGATGTTTGTACTGTAATGAAGTAAGCTTAGACTTAACAAAAGTTACGTTCGGTCTGTAGATTAACTGTTTTAAGGACAATCTAAATTTACTTCAGTCTCAGAATTCCTTTTTCCAGGCTGCAAAATATTCTGGTTAGGTATATGGTCATCTTTTCATACTTCAGATATTTCAAATGTATTTGAAAATTTCTAAAATATTTCTAAAATATTTTAAAAGTTACTGATTATATTTTGTAGGCTTTAATGGCCTTGCCTAAGGTAAAAGTCCTATTGTGTCTCTTTACGTTCCTCAAATAATAGTTTTTGTTTTTAGTAATTTGGGTGGCTAACCAGTTTTAAGATACCTTTCATTAGCCATAGCATACTCTAAGCTCTTAGTCTGACCTTTGTTTACTCCCTTAAATACTCAGTTTTCTTATATTCTTCAGTGAGAAATATCTGCTCTCTAGGAAGACTTATTGGAGCTGGGATTACAGGCGCATGCCACCACAGCCTGGCTAATTTTTGTATTTTTAGTAGAGACAGGGTTTTGCCCAGGCTGATCTTGAACTCCTGACCTCAGGTGATCCACCTGCCTCAGCCTCCCAGAGTGCTGGGATTACAGGCGTGAGTCACCATGCCCAGCCGAGTCCCGTAAAATTTGAGTTATTTTACCTCTGATTGCTTTGGGTTGAATTATTGTTACTTAGTCAATGAAGGTGAGAATTTCAAAAATTAACTGAAGTTGCCAAAAAGGTGGGAGAATTGAGAGTCTTCTTATTGCATTTGAGTAAAAGTGTCCAAGAAGTGTACAGTACAGAGAAATAGCTATATATGCAGTAATTAATACTACTAGTTTCCTTCCATCTCCTTGTCCTGGGTAAAGTGGAAAATGTAGTTTATTATACATTTATTGAACAACTACTGTGTATAAAAGACTATAGAATAGAGTTTTGTAGTCATTACCTTTCCACTCACCATAAATGGAAATTATTAACACTGGAAGTTACTGCACAACTTATTTTTTTAAATTTTATTTTCTTTATACAAACTTATTGGAGTAGTCAGCAGCTTCCCCCACACTTAATAAAAATGAGTTTTATTTAGATTTGTAACTAATCCTTAAATGTTATTTTAAAAAAATAGCTATCTTGAAATGTAAATGTTAAAAGTTATTTTTGTGTTTTACTTCTTAACTAATATATGCAGGGTACCTAAAGAAAAGATATCATTTCACAGAGCTATAATAAAAATTACTTGAAAAAACTGTTTTTGTTAAGTGATACAAATGATACCTATTGTTTCTTGTTAGGCCATTTGGGAGACTATCTTAAAAAGGTTAATGTCAAATAGTGTAATTTTTAAAGTAAGTGTTTATAGAACTTTAGATAAATTATTTTAACCCTCAATTATTCAGATCTCAAGGTTTGATAAGGAATAACTCATACCAATTTTGAATAAAGTAATCACCATAATCACCATCTTATTTTTTTTGCTATCTGCATTGGCTGTTTAGTTCATAATACTTGGTTTATAATGTGTTTATACTTTTTGATGAAGGGCTTTGCACCATTTATCTCGCCTGAGAGACCTGGTTGATGATGCCAATGGAAAAGAGTCACCAAAAATGTGAAGAGGAAAATGAAACTGTCACCAAAATAAATAGTCACCACAGAACAAATATTTTTTTCTATTACATAAACTGACAAAGTAAATATAAGCCATATATTATTTTGTAATTGGTTCAATGATTATATATTTCTAAAACACTGAACTTAAAAATACCCATAGGTTTTGTGACCTATTTTTATTTTACGCCAACATATTAGAATGTGACTGCAAAGACCCGCAATATATCCTAAAGTCTTTCTTTCGTCTTCTGACCAGCGAATGTCTAATATTTAAAGATGGATGACTTCTGTTCTTGAAACCTGTGTGGATTTAACCTTCTTCAGCATCCTTAACATTTTATTATCTGGCTCAGGATCATTAAGAAACTTACTGGTTTTTATCCAAAATCTCTTACGTTAAATAGACTTTTTTTTGGATATAGTTAGCTTCACTTTTAAACAGCTTAAAGGAATATCAAAATTGTTATTGTGTATCTCATCTATATGGCAGTCTGTTGCTTTTAAGTTTTCATAAATTTAATATTTAAGATACATTGTATTTGAAAAATTACATTAATAGTGGAGTGATACAGTGTTAAAATGAATTTTATGTTGTGACATTCAAGAGAATCTTCTCATTTAATTAGTACTTTGATTCTATATAAGATAATCTTAATGTTTAACAGTTTCCAAAACCTTTTTGGGGGTATATTTAAGAACTTAATATTTTGATATTAGATTGTTTCCCAGATTTTAATTTTGGGATTAGCTCAAACTAGTGAAAATTATGACTTAATGACCAATCGTTTTATGAAATTTGATAACTAAACTTAAAATGAATTTGGAAAATCAGAAAGCACCTATATTTTAGAGATATTTTGTAAGAGTTGTGCTTTCTTTAACACAATCTGTAATCTTAAGTTTGTCTCTAGCTGGAACCGAACAAAGCTCTACAATTTTGCAGTTTTTATGAAGCACTTATTATTAATCCTTAGAATTAAGTCATAAAGTGTAACTAATACAGTGCATTACAGCCTGATAAAATTAAAGAGTACTATGAATATCTATAACTACTACAAATTAACACTTCACTCAGTTGATAGCATTTTTGCTCAGTAGATTTATTGTCAAATAGGAATTTCTAAGCACATTGAGTCAAAGCATTTTTTCCAAGTTATTAAAGCATAATTTAATGTATTTGTTAGAAGTGACTTGTCAAACTCTACAGTGAGCCCTGTGGGTTTTTGTTTTGTTTTGTTTTGTTTTTGCCAGTGAGTGTTTCACCACACTGCTATGGCCAGTTTGAGAGGCAGTTACCAAGAGGTTTGTTTTGTTTGCTCTGTGGAGATGCTTTTGCTACTGACATTGCTTTTCTGATTATAGTCTGCTTCATAGAAAAGAGCCTGCATAATCAAACAAGGAACTACTTTGAAGATTAAAGTATGCCTGGCTATTAAAAATACAGATTTTATGTGGTAAACATCAGGTAGGTCTGGGTGGGTTATGTTCTCGGCCTAGCAAAATCCTCTATTCGACAAGTTCTGAAGAAGGCAGAGAAGATAAAGGCATCAGGTGGTAACTTCTAATTGTATGTTAATTATATATTGATCATACATAACAAATACTATGCCTGGAAATTATAATGACTGAAAAGCACCTATTTGGTTAGTGTTTCTATCTGTGAGAACATATCTCCAATACTAAATGAGATAAGCCTGTTCTAAAATCTTACAGCCAAATTTTAAGAAACTTGATTATGCTTATGAAAGGAACATTGTTTTCTCTTGTTTTAAATATGGAGAGGTATAATCCTTTACCTAAGAAAAGAATTAATTTTAGCAAAATGATTCCTTTCAACATTTTTATAAGAAATATCTAGGGAAAAATTTATAAGAAATATCTTATAAATCTATAAGATTTATAAGAAAAATAAATCTAAACTGATAACTATTCAAGACATTCTCTAAATAAGATATTTAATTACAAGCTCCATATCTCAGGGTCCTTTTTAGGTTTCCAGGGGAAAAGAGCAGGATAACAGTATGGAGACTGCTAAGTTGAGAATTTAAAACAAGTGAAAGCATGAGATTTTAAAAGCTGCATTGTGAATATAAAATTTTTATCAATCCTTTGCTCTTATTCTTTTAGATATATTAAGAAAATAGAAGAAATTAAGAAATTTTAATAAGATGTTTCGGATCTTTGAGTATGAAAATATAACAATTTAAAAGCCTAATTTCAAAAACTATTTGAGATCAAGGGACAGTGTTGTCACCAATATGAAGATTCAAGACTGAACTGTATTGTCTTTACTATCAATAAGAACTTTACTTTCAGTTTTTTCTCCAACAATAGAGATTTCTGACCAAATTAAGGAACACTGTTTTCTTGGGTCTGTTTTGAGTATATGTCATTATAGTTATAGTCTTTCTTGTTAAAATGTATAATTGTGGGGTTTTTGTATTGTTTAGTATTTAATAGTGTATAATGTTTTGTTAAATTATACGTGGTTATACCAAAATATTTCCCAAAGATAAATCATGACAAGGTTCTCTGTTTATTCCTGTGTTTTAAATACATAGAATTGCTCTTGTAGATTTGAATTTTTGTTTCATTTTTTCTGTCCCACCCTTCACTCTCTGTATCTCAGAACCTTTTTGATAGAAGTGCTATCCAGAAGTGAACTTGTAAAAAGGCAAGTAGCATGAAAGGAGACAAAAAAAAGCAAAATACCAATGTAGTGGATAATTTCTGAGCACTTGAAGTTTCTTCAAAAGTGCAAGACTATGTGTCTTCCTATTAGATGTATAAATTGGGTATTTCATGCCTAATTAAAGGTCATATTGGATCATAAAGTGATTGGGATAAATTGAGGCCTAAACCTGAACACATTGTAGAGTATATTGTTAGAAATTTTTCCTGTGATATTTGAAGTTATTATTTTCCCATTTCCTTTTCTTTTTTTCTTTATAAATCATATGTCCCTACGAATGTTTTCCCGTTTTTGTTTGGACCAAAAAAAAAAAATAGTTTTTTATCTTCCCAGTGTATTGTCCTGCATTGTCCTTACCCTAGATCAGACACTTCTATGTAACAGTTTTTCTCATAATGTAACAACTTTTATCCACCCTTCAATACCTTCACTGGGACTAGTTCATTCATTTTCAAATAGCTATTTCAACCTTTAACCTCTCCTGTCTTTGTCTTCTATGCAGAAGCCAGAGTGACTGGTCTTGGTAGGACTCTGTTGTGTATCACCACTCTGACCTTACTGATTTGTTTCAGCAAATTTGCTGTAAAGTGCTTTGTTCAGATTCCCCTCCAACATTATTTATATACCCTCATCTTTGTGCATATTATTTCTCATGCGTGAAATACTCAAGTTTTATTCTTTTAACCTGCTGAGTCTGTCCCGCAGACTCTGGCCGAGCGATGGATGAAAGGCGTACTCAGACACAGATATGCAGTGAAAGAGTGCTAGGGGACCGCCTGCAGAGTGAACAGTCTCAATAAACTGGCACTGCTTGCTTTTATTCAGTACAGACAATGCTGAAAGCCTGGAGCCAACATAATCTATTGGTAATTAACATTGTTGTCCCCCTTGCAGGGAGCAGTCTCACATGTTGATGATTAAAGGTCAGTTTCTGGACAATATAAGCAAACCAGCCTATTTAGATAAATCCCCCTACATTCCCTGGTACCTACTCCTCGCTCTTTGCCTCAGGGTAAGAGAACAGCTGCCTTCAGCGTATTCTTCCCTGAAGCTTTGCAAAACCTTCTGACCTTTCAAGAAAGTTTGCGGGTTTCCCTATAACTTCTCCCACCACCCTGACCAGTCTCCTACATCTCCCCCTTTTCTGTTTTTTTCAAATCAGGTTTTGTTGAAGAGTACTGATGTATGCCGCAACAGGTTTGTCAGGTGCAGCAGTTAGAGCTCTTGTTCTGGCTTTGCATCCTAGATTTAGTAAATAACGTAAGACAAACGTGAGTATAATTAGTGTCATTCTTTCCCAATTAAGGAGTGATACGTAGCATTACTTGGCACCTTAGTCCAATGTGTGCCATGACTGAGGGACCCCACCAGGGGTATGTCAATCCTTTCTAGCCAAGCAGTTGCATTGTTAGGGGCTGGGAAGGAGGTGTCCATCCAAAGTAACAGGGTAGAAGAAAGGTGGATCCCGAAGATGGACCCAATAGAGTATAGCAGGTGCAGGTTGCAGGCAGAGTGAGAATAAGAAAGGTTAATACCCTATGAGTCACAGTGTACAACAGAAAGCATAGCAAGGAACAGCTTATCTGGAGTGAATGGTGTTTGTGTTTGGAGCAGGATTTGCTCAGCCTACTGAGTTGTGTTCTTCACCATCCCCCAGGTTGTGTCCGGGTCTGTGGGTCCTGTAGCATCATTTCCTTCATTTCTGGTACTGGGTTGGGTCTTAGCCACACTCTGGTATGGTTTGATGCATTGTGCTGGAATCCAAAGAGGACCTGAGGAGGTGCAAACATAAGCGTGTCCTCTTCCCCATTAGCAAATCATTTCGACCGCACCATGCATTACTATTGACATCTTTTCATAAAACCACAGGTTTTATGTCTTGAGGGGCATTTGCAAAATGCTTCTCTATGGCTGATTAAAATTTATCATCTAAATTTTAAAAATTATGGGTAAATAAGGCTTGTACCAATAGTATTGCAGGGTTCTTATTACCCCTTTTTTTGTTTTCTGAGCTTTTTTTTTTGTTTGTTTTTTGAGACGGAGTTTCACTCTTGTTACACAGGCTGGAGTGCAATGGCGCGATCTCGGCTCACTGCAACCTCCACCTCCTGGGTTCAGGCACGCGCCACCACGCCCAGCTAATTTTTTTTTTGTATTTTTAGTAGAGACAGGGTTTCACCGTGTTGACCAGGATGGTCTCGATCTCTTGAGCTGGTGATCCACCCGCCTCGGCCTTTGAAAGTGCTGGGATTACATCTGAGCATATTTTTAAGGGTGGAGTGTATGTATTCTACTATGGCCTGTCCTTGGGAGTTATACAGGATGCCTGTGGAATGTTAGATGTTCCATGTCTGACAAAGTTGTTGAAATTGTGAGCTGGCATAGCTGAGGGCCACCCCATAAATGCAAAAGTTGAGAGAAGATGTTTAATGACATATCAGGCAGACTCTCCAGGAAGAGCATGAGTGCTAATTAGTTGGGAATAGGTATCAATGATACATGTACATATCTTAGTCTTCCAGATTCAGGGATGTGCATAACATCTGCTTTCCATAAGTGATTAGGTTCTAGTCCTCTAGGGTTAGCACTTGTTGAAGGAGGGGACATACCTGTGAGCTGGCAATCCGGGCATTGTAAAATAATTTGTTTAGTTAGTCTTTGGGTAAGTTGAAATTGTTTTGTTAAGTTTCTCTAATTCTGGTGGAAAAATTCATGTGATGATTGGGTGGCTTTGTCAAGAAGTGATGTCATAACCTGCATGTTTGCTTGATCATTGCCATGCACTAGTGGGTCAGGCAGTGAACTGTGGGCCCGAATGTGTGTGATAAAAATAGGATGTGTGTGTTGATCCAGCAATTGCTGAAGTTGAAAAAGTGTGCACAGGGTGGGCTTGAGAGTGGACTTAATGAGGGCTGTCTCAAGGTTCTGCCATAAATAAACAGAGTAAGCCAAGTCACTAACAATATTGATAGTCTGAGTGGAAAAGGTGTTTCTAGGGCCAATATTAGGGCTCCAACCTCAGCTCTCTGAGTCCTAGTGAATCTAGGTTGAGCGAGGGAGTTATGCGGTTCCCACCAGATAGCCACTTTTCTATTTTTATCAGTCTTAAAAAGCGTTAAAGTGTTAGGTATGCGGGAGTGAAATACCTTTGTAGGCATAACTACAGGAGTACGAGGTAAGTAGGAAGGGTATATTCTATATGACCTGCTATTAGGAGAGTGCTCTCTGAAGGTCTAGAAAAAGGGGCAGGAATGCTTCTAATTGTTTTTTACTTAAGGATACTCTTAAGACATCAGGGTCATAACCTAGCAATTGATCACATTGTCTGCGACTTGTATAGATGACTTTACTAACTAGCTGGACATAGGGTGTTTTAGTCCTGGAATGTGAGTTAAAAAACCCATTTTAGGAAATGTAGTCCTGGGGCCATCTGCCCTATTAATCCTGTCAGAGAATGTTTAGTAGGAGAAACAAACAGTTGTGCTGAGTATCGTGGGTCTATGCAATCTAGCTGCTGCTAAGAAATAGCTTGCCTCTCTTTCCTCAATTTCTCTTTTTGCAGCAGGGGTTAAATACTTGGAGGAGTCCAGGGTTGCCTTGCTCTTTAGGACAGAAAACAGGTTTTATACTGTATCAGTAGTAATGCCCAAGGTGGGGTGAAGCCAGTTAATACCACCCAGGAATTTTTGATAATCATTTAAGGGGTTTGTTAGGATTTAATTTAACTTTTTGAGGTCACTGACCAGGAAGTTAGTAAGTATCCAAGGTATTTCCAAGGAGAGGACATCTGTAGTTTGTCAGGCACTATGATTAAACCTCTTAACTGTGTATTCCTTTGACAGAGGCATATAAATTTAAAAGTATTGGCTCCACTCGGGCCGTAAGTAAGATATCATCCATAAAATGGATGATCTTGCAATTAGGAAATTCTTTTCTACTGGGGAGCAAAGCCTGATTTAGATGTTACTGACACATGATAGGACTGTTTAGCATTCCTTGAGGAAGCACTTTCCAGTGAAATCAGTGAGCTGGCCATTCATTATTGGTATTGTAAAAGCAAATTTTTCTCTGTCTGGTTCTCCAAGGGGAATAGTTTAAAATCAGTGTTTAACTATAGTTTATAATAATGACTATAGGCCAATCTCGAGGAATCACCATGGGGAAAGGAAGCCCCTGTTGAAGGGGCCACTTAGGTTGCAAATTAGCATTGATATCCTGTAAGTCATGCAAAAGTCTCCATTTACCAGACTTTTGGGGAAGGATGAAATGGGCGAATTCCAAGGGCTGTCTGATGGTTCTATATGGCCAGCTGTTAATCGTTCCTCAACTAATTCGTGGGCTTGTTGTAATTTCTCTCTTTAAAGGCCACTGTTCTACCCAAATAGGATTTGAGAGAGCCACATGAGGGGCTGGAGAGGAGTAGCAACAGTGGCCATTATGAGAAAGGAGTCTTATGTTCATATAGTTTATTAAATTCTGCCTTCTAGAGGAGGAATTGACTGCCGTCTAAAGTTGTTTTAGGTGGCACTGACCAGTCCCATGGGGTCATACAGAAGTTGTCTGCTATGGTCTCAATCCTTTTGTAAATGGGCTAGCAGCTCTGTTTTCTCTAATGCTTTTTCTTATCTCTTTATAAGTGTCAGAAGTAATGGGTTCAGACACCCGATTGCCTGGTTGATCTTTCATCACCAGGCAGGCCAAGAGCTCCCCTTCTAATGCCGCTTGCCTAAGACAGGGTCCCATAACTGTAGTGTATCCCTTGTCTTTTTTCCAATTTATTGGGGGAGGGGGCTCAGGAAAAATATTCGTTTCCTCTTTGGTATCTTTACCCTGTAACGGCAGAGTTGAGGGAGGAGGAGGAGGCAGTAAGGTAGGTGATGATTCCTCCTCCCGTCCCTTTTTAGGCTCTTCTGTGTCGAGTAGGGCCAAAGAAACCCTGTCTAAGGCCCATAAAGTTAAGGATATTACTGAGACCTGTAGCCCTTGTGCATGATGTTGTTTAAGATTTCTCACCACTTGTTCCCAGAGCTCTAGGTCTAGTGTACCTTCTTCTGGGAACCATGGGTTATGGGAAACAATAGTTTGCATTAGGTTTCTTTTTTTGTGTGTGTGAGTTGGAGTCTTGCTTTGTTGCCCAGGCTGGAGTGCAGTGGTATCATCTTGGCTCACTGCAACCTCTGTCTCCCAGGTTCAAGCGATTCTCCTGCCTCAGCTTCCTGAGTAGCTGCGATTACAGGCACATGCCATCATGCCTGGCTAATTTTTGTATTTTTAGTAGAGACGGGGTTTCAACATGTTGACCAGGCTGATCTCAAACTCCCAACTTAGTGATCCACCTGCCTCAGTACACTAAGTTTCTTAATTGAGACTGCGAAAACGAGGCTCCACTAGCTTTAAGCAGCTGTTTCAGTACTTTCATATGCTATTTCTGTTGAGGGGATAACTGTTGTCCCTTGATGAAACCCTAGCTTGAAAATTCCCTTGAACTTGTGAATCCTGAGCAGGCACCAATGACTTACTGACTGTGCAGTCTCTACACCTTCATTTTCGAGGGTTCCGTTGTGATTCGTTACAGTGTTCCTCACGGGGCACAGCTGCGCAGTCTGTCTTGCATACTCTGGCAGAGCCACGGATGAAAGGAGTGACAGATTTCACTGCATACTCCAACACAGGTATGTAGTGAAAGATCACTAGAGGGCTAGGGGACTGCCTGCAGAGTGAACAGTCACGATAAGCTGGTACTGCTCACTTTTATTCAGTACAGACACAATGCCGAAAGCCTGGAGCCAGCACAATCTACATAATTAACATTGTTGTCTCCTCTTGCAGGGAGCAGTCTTACACATGGATGATTAAAGGTCAGTTTCCAGACAATATAAACAAGCCTATTTAGATAAACTCCCCTATATTCCCTGGTACCTACTCCTTGCTCTTTGCCTCAGGATAAGAGAACAGCTGCCTTCAGCTTATTGTCCCCCAAAGCTTTTCAAAACCTTCTGACCTTTCAAGAAAGTTTACATCTTTCCCTAGAGTTTCTCCCATCACCCTGACTGACCTCCTATATTATCTAAAGCTTACTCTTACATTTCTTTAAAGCTCTGATTAAATATTTTATTTTGTCCCCAAATGTTCTAACTGTCCATCAAAATGTGGTAAGTTGGCCTTTCTTTTTACTTTTCTTGCCATTCATTTAGCTGTTATATTTTGTTTTAATGTTTTGGATGATGCCTCTTATACTACTTTGTATTCCTAGGCAAGGAAATGTATATCAAAATATATTAGGTGATTGATTCTGTTTTATCTTATCTCCTTGATGATGGTACCTCTTATACTATACAGAATCAAGAAAAAGGAAACTGCATTTTAAATAGTGGCTTTAAGTATTGACTGATTATTTTAAACCTGGTTTCCTATATAAGGTTGTAAGCTCAAGATAAAAGAGACCACATTCTTTACTTATGTGAGGTTCTAGAAACTCTTTATTTCTTTTTAAAAAACATTTTGATAAATTTTTTTTTAAATTAAAAACTTTTAAGAGCAATTTTAGGTTCACAGCAAAATGAAGAGGAAAATAATTTTTTCACAAAGATTTCCCATTTACCTCCTGCTTCTGCACATGAGTGAACTCCCATTTTCAACAACTGCCACCAGAGTGGTGAACAATTGATGAACCTACATTGACTCATCGTAATCACCCAGAGTCCATAGTTCACAACAGGGTTCACTCTTGATGTACATTCTGTGAGTTTGGACAGATGCATAATGACATGTATCCGCCATTGTAGCATCATACTGTTGCAGGACTTCCTCCTTAGTTTAGCTAGGAGCTGGGTCCTTGCCATATGGCTCTAAAATATTTTGCTTGCAGACACTTTGAAGTGTAAGAATAATGGAATTTATGGGGCAAAAAGGAAAATAAACAGGGACTCTCTGCAAAGCCAGAGTCCCAGCTAGTGTGTTTTCTTCCTCACAGATTGAATTCTGGGTTCCCCAGGAAGATGGGGGGCCAGGCTCTTGCCCACTGCAAACTGTGGTTCTGCCCTAGTGTACCCTCCTCTTAGTGCATAGGCCAGTTGGAATTTCTCTGGGGACCCCTTCCAACCTGGCTGTCTCATACCCTTCTAAAGTACATAATTGCCATTAGAATAACTAGGATGAAGACCGATCTTAACTTCTTCCTACTGACAGGGTCACCTTTTTGGGAAAACAGCAGTCAGAGCTTTCTCAGAGGCCTAAGGATTCTCAGCAGAAGGGGCCATTGTTGGAGGCTCCTGTTGCATGACCATTTGGAGTTTGATGGCCAGGTTATTTAAAAACTTGTATCAAAATGAAACAAAGGGAGGGGTAAGGAGAGCTCAAAAATCCTAAGGCCTTTACCAGTTTGCACAGGGATAGGTAGGTCAAAAGCCTGACTGGTAATAAAAACTTTTACCCTTTTACCAGCATGTTGGGATTCTGGATTTCCTTCCCCTGAGCCCAATCGTAAGTCAACTAGTTTAAGGTTTGGAAAATTAACTTCTCCCAGTTTGAAGGGTGTATCTGAAGGGAGTGACCTGTAGTATGGAGACACAATTACCTATCTGTGAAGAGAGGACATAGGAGGAAAAAAGAAAAAAGGGTGCTTTTCAAAGGAGTCCCAGGGGTTCAGGATGCATTTGAAAGGGGTACAAACTGAAGAAGAATGGCCACTTATCTAGAAAGAGGGTAGCAGGCATTCCTGGTTCCCTTCTCTTTTTAGCAGATACCTGGGGTATGTGAAGGAGAGAAGGAAGAGTATTTTCTTTCCCTCTTCCATCCTTGTATCTCTGAGTCCTGGTGACATTGACAGGTGCCACCATAGGTGTTAATGTGGCTTTCACTCATGTTAACAGAGGATCTGGAGGTGGGAATTATCCAATCTTCCCACATATGTCCTATTTCCCCTGCTGTCCATAGCCTTGAATTCCCTAGATCTCATTTATGCCATGGATACTAGCATGGCCTTTAGCCATGAAATGGGAAGCTTGGCTTAATTGACAGGAACCAGCCATGTTCACCTGCATTGTGCCTTTTAATTTTCATTATCATCTGTCTTTGGATCCCTCAGATCCAGTTTTCCTTCCTAGGGCTTTGACCTGAAGCTTGAAATTGAGTTTGGGACAGAAATATGTCTTGCGGGTATTTGCATAGATTCCTTATCAGAAGCCAAATGCTAAGGGGAAGCTGTGGAATTGAATCCTCCTCCAACAAGGGAGAGAAAAGGATGTCTTGCAACACACCCATATAACTGGTGGCTATAGTTTTGCTGCTAAGATTTGGGTACGTGGTGCTTGGCTTTAGTTCGCTCCTGTGGTCTTTCTCAAGAAGCAAACCTCCAAACAATGGGCATCCTATTTACTCCCATCACCTGGCAGGATTTTTAGGATAATTGCTCAGAACTAAAATATTGATCCAGATTTTTACATTACCCATCCCTGTGTTCTTTCTAAGCTGCAACTGGAGATTGCTGGTTGGATCACAGGAACAAGTAGGGTTATTCTAAAATGTAGGCAAAAACTTAAAAACAACAAATGAGTTTATAATTTAATAATAAATGTATGATAAGTTTCGATACAATTTCTCTCTTATTAGTCCTCATTTTTGTTGAAAAAACACAAATCATCATAGGACTAAGTGGTTTCCAAAATGGACTTTAGTCTTATACTTGACCGGATTATTTGCATAAAGTGCAGCAAGATAATTATTTCTACATAGTTCTTTTGGATTGGCTTTGATGGAACTCTATTTCACAGAGAGTCTCAGATGAGACGTTTTGAAGGTGAGCCCAGCCAGGGATTTTTATCTTCAAATACCTGTGAATAGGGTGATTCTCTCCTCTTATGGTCCCAAATAAACTTGGATGCCCTGGGCCTGTGAAAAAGTGACATTTTTTACTGACCACACACCCTGTACAGGGCCTATGTAGGCAAGGGTATGAAGCCAGTTCTTCCTATGGGGCTTTTAGCAGCTCTGCAAGTCAAGATTGACTCCTTAAAGGTAAGCATACCATTCTAGTCCAGCCCTTGGTAAAATAACCAGTTACTCCAATTGTATCCTGTTGCAGGAGAAAAATGGATTCTATTGCACTGATGCAAATAATAAGTTAATGGTATTCACAGATAATTTCCATATTCTAGAGGAACCAGGCAGAGAGAAATAAACATACTCCAAATTTTGTTCACAGGAGTATAACTTAATTAAAGGCCATAAATTGTTCAAAATAAGTTTTCTTGACTGAAAAACAGATCATGGATCAGCAATATTCCAAGCAAAAGTCAAAAAGATTTGCTTCAGCTTCCTGAGTTCAGTCTAGTTATCTCTTGTTTTGCTTTTCGTGAACACTTCAGCTCTTTTGAGTCCTGTATATTCTTCCTTTATTCCAATGTCACGGTCTCCAAAGTTATCAGAAACCTGTATTTGAAAGCACTGGTCAGAGTCCTATGGCTTATAAACCATCTTTTGAAAAGGATTGAAACAAGATAATGGTGAATAGCAAAATGTCCAGGGTAGTTATGGTTAGAAACACAATTGACAAGGAAGTTTGGTTATCTCGGTGTCTTACAATAACTTAACAACCTTAATTATGATTGATGGCATACACGTAGATATTAGAATTTTAGAAGTTCCGTATAATTTTGTAATATATATTAGCTGAACATCATTTTGGCAATCTCATATAGCTGAATACATCAAATAATTGTTTACCCCTTTTCTGGATGTTTCAGGGGGTCCTCTGATCCATCCAAAAAGGTAGGCATCAGGAAAGACAATTTTGAAACTGAAGTTTGATTTTGGGAAACCTGTTAAATATGTTAGAAGTTCAAAGCACTTGGTATTATGAAACAGAATTTCAGATTACGATAAGTTATTTTGCCAAAATAATGAATCAAAAATTTTAAAGAAGCAAAACCTTTTATAACCCTTTACAAATTTTGGTAAAGAGCAGATTAGCACCTTAAGAATACCTTGTTGTGCTTTTATTTTAATGCTCAATTTACAGAAAAATCATATACCTTTTTTGAGTTCAGTCAATATGTTCACACAGAGAACTTCTTCTGCAAGATTTATTCTTCAATTCTTTCACAACTAGTTTGACCCTTCAGCTTTATCTTATCTAATTAAAACAATCCTTTAAACCTAGGTAAAAATTTACATTTCCATGTCTTCTTATAACCTTTTACTAAAAAACACATTTTACTGTTCTTATATACTTTACATGTAAATATAGTTTTTGTAGTTTCTGTTACGTATTATAATGGTAACTCCTAGCAATTTTAACTTTAATGTAAAACCTAGTAAGTTGTTTTAATTGTGTGCCAGGTACAGCCAAGATTTGACTCCTTCCAGCATAATTAAGGGTGTGGTTAGTTTTATATGTCCACAGACCTTACCAGTTGTGCAGCAGGCAAGTCAGAGGGTTCTCAAAACCCCAAAAGCAGTATATAACCTCAAAACACGTAGCATACCTTACGTTTGTCATGCATGACTTAGTCCACCTATTTACATTTTGATGGCATCTGCTTTATACCAATAATCTTTAAGGCTGTTTTATTTTTTCTCAAAGATTAGTCATATGAAATGAAAGGTACCACAGCTTTTATCTTCCCTTTAAAAAATATTTGATCTAGGCCAGGTGCAGTGGCTTATGCCTGTAATCCCAGCACTTTGGGAGGCCGAGGCGGGTGGATCACGAGGTCAAGAGATCGAGACCATCCTGGTCAACATGGTGAAACCCCCTTCTCTACTAAAAATACAAAAAAATTAGCTGGGCATGGTGGTGCGTGCCTGTAATCCCAGCTACTCAGGAGGCTGAGGCAGGAGAATTGCTTGAACCCAGGAGGCGGAGGTTGCAGTGAGCCAAGATTGCGCCATTGTACTCCAGCCTGGGCAACAAGAGTGAAACTGTCTCAAAAAATAATAATAATAATAATAAATATATATATATTTGATCTAAACGCTGTGTTTCTAAACACCAAATTAATTAGAGCTCTCTTTACAGAGATCATACACACCACACATATAGCTACACAGATAGGCAGGAGAAAACTCACTCCCCAGGTGGAGCCCTGTAAGAAACAGGGCTAGGAAAACATGCAGAAAGGACTTATTCCCTAAGGCAGGATTGCTAAACAAAGCTTTGCCACTCTGCCATCATGTAAAACCAGATGGACGCCTGCAATGAACCATACAAACATGCAAAGCACACCAAATTGGCTACAGCTTAAGACCAGGCTCACAAATCCTTTTTCACAAAACTTTACAGAGAATATAAATAGTGATCCTTATCATTCCTAGCCTAGTAAAACATTTTCTAAAAGGAAAAACCTCACTTAAAAGTTAACTGCTGATGGCATGGAGAAGGGGAAGAAAAAAAAATTTAAAAATGCCTGAGGAAGAGCATCTTATTCTTATGCAACTGGTTCCTATACCAGGGAGAAAAGCTTAATTACTGTCTAATGAAGTTGAGCCCCTTGGCAGGGGAAGGGGAAGAGCTTGGGACATTCGCCAGCCCCAGCCAGGAGGGTAGGGGGAGTGAGGAGCCCCTGCTCACCTGTCTATCCCAAAAAAGAAAAGGCCATGGAAATGCCCCCAACCCCAGGGAGTGACAGGGGTGGGAGAACAGTTTCCCCTACCTTTAGAAGTCCGAGGATGAAAAGGCTTAGAAAGGATAGTGAGAGGCTTTGAGTCCCCATTTCACTCACCCCTTCTCAAGCCTCACATTGGGCACTAAAGCTATTGTAGGACTTACTCCTTAGTTCAGCTAAGAGCCAGGTCCTTTTGACACCGCCATGAAATTATTAGACTCGCAGACACTTTGAAGGGTAAGAATAATGAAATTTGTGGGGCAAAAAGGAAAAAAGGGAAACAGAAACTCTCTGAAAAACCTGAGTCCCTGCTAGTGTACTTCCTGCCTTACTCTGAATTCCATGTTTCACCCAGGAAGAGCCAGGCTCTTCCCTGCTGCAAATGGCATGAACTGTGGCTCCACCCCAATGTGCACTCCTCCCAGTCCACAGGCCTTTTGGAGTTTCTCTGGAGACCCATTCCCTTCTGGCTGCCTCAATACAGACTATTTTCACTGCCCTAAAAATCCTGCATGCTCCACCCATTGTTCCTGACTCCAGCTGCCTGAAAATCTGCTTTAAAATGCAGTACATTAAACCTGTTTTGGAGGAGCTATTTTTTTTTTTTTATGTTGCTGCTCCTGTTCTTTAAGTAGGAGCAACAGTTGTGTATTTTGGATGACATAACTGTAAGTCTTCTGACCTCCTGTCCTCAAAACTGAGATTTTTGAGTTTTTAAGTGTTTTCCATTTCATCAGTTATATATTCAGTTTTACAGATTTAGGACTAAATCTAGGAAAATTCAGTTCATTATAGAGACTCAAGTCCATTTATGTTGCTACAGCAAAATGCCTGAGACTGGGTAATTTATAGAAAACATAAATTTATTTCTCACAGTTCTGGGGGCAGGGAGGTCCAAGGTGCTGGCAGATGTTTGGCTGTCTGGTGATGGCTGCTCTCTGCTTCTAAAATGGCACTTTAATGCTGCATTTTCTGGAGAGGAAGAACTTTATGTCATTACATGATGGAAGGGACGGAAAGCAAAAGGGGCCCAGATTCCTTCACCAAGCTCTTTTATAATGACATTGATTCTGCTCATGACTTAAACACCTCCCAAAAGTCTCCATCTTCCAATACTGTTGCATTGGGGATTAAGTTTCCATACATGAGTTTAGGGGAACACATGCAGACCACAGCACTGGGTTTTGCATTGTGTTGCTTTTTCAAGCCTGGCTTGATGATCACTGTTTAGGTCTAATCTAGAAGCAAACCACACAGTGATATTAAACAAGGGAAGTTTAATATAAAAGTTTTAAACCAGTTGAGGTAGAGTACCCAAGAAAGGGCAAACTTGGAAGAGAGAACCGAAAGTCTGGATTCAGACATTGTTGAATATAGGATAACTGTGGCCCATTGGATTGCAGTGAAGGTTACTGGTTTGCTTAGACCAGTGCTGGTGTTTAGTTACCAGACAAGCTGGAAGCCACACTATTGACTGTGTGCGAATGCAGAAGGAGTCAGGGCAGGACATCTGGAGCATGTGGTGTCTGTTTTGGGAGGGTCTTAGAAGGTGATCACCAGCCCAGATGAGGTCTGTAAAGTCACTAAGAAAATACTTTCCTGGAGTGTGGCTAGGACAGAGTGGCCCCAGATGTCTTCACACCCACTTCTTACTGATGGTGCAGCTGCCAGAAAGCAGCAGGAGAGTCCCTTTGGGGTAAATTTGGAGTTGAGAGACCATAAACTGATAACTAGTGCAGAAGCTGATTAGGTTCTAGGAAGGTTTTGGTGAAGTTTTATATTTACCATTTTATATTGGTAAATATAAAATGTCTCATCCTCCTTTGCCCTCCTTGTTTTGCAACATATTGCATAGCCTGTCCAAGAAATGTGGGCATATGGGTAAGGTAGTGGAAATATCAGGGCATTTAGAAAACTGAGGAACCATGAAAAACCTTAAGTCAATATTTTCAAAATCTAATGAATTTGATACGTTCATAAAGTACTTTATGAACTATAAATCTGGGACTACTGTATATATTTTGGAGTTACATAAATGGTACCCTCAATATATCAGGAGCATGGAGTATTCCTTTCGTTACTTTTCACCAAGATGGTCATATAGTTTTATATGAACAATTCTGGAAATGGAAAATTCTCTGCAATTCTAATACTTTGTTTCTTAGCATATTCTTGCTTCAGTTAAGTCATGATTTAAATATCTGTGTCTTCACATTTTGCTCTTAATTTTGCCTCTTAAGACAATTTTATATACATATTTCAGTCTTCCTAATGTTCAAAGCAATGGAAGTAATGTTCCATCATTTAGGCTCAATATTTCTAAATTATTTCTTTGGTAAAAGTTTTATTTATTCATTATTGTTTCACTTTTCTAGATGCTTTCCAGCTTTCAGTTTTTTTAATGTGGCACCAGATATCCAGAATTTATAGAGTAGAATGTGGAGACTCTATGTTTAATAGTTTATTATAGTACTTTATTTTACTAGTATTTATTTGACTCCTGGCACTGTGCTTGGGTGTGTGTGGCGGGGGCTGGGGGAACGGTGATCACAAATAAGGCATCACTCTACAATGAGGAACTCAGTGGAGGAAATATATAAACGGAGAAATGTATACTGCAACCAGGTAACTATTGTTTCAGATAAATGAAGATAGAACAATGGTGAAGAAGCACAGAAGATAGATCAGCTAAGTAGCCTGGAAAAACCAGGAAAGATTTCACTTAGGAGGGGATAATTGAGTTGATATAGAAAAGTTAACAGAAGTTTACCATCAAGGAAATTGAGTAGAAGGGTGTTTTTTTTTTCTAGCCAAGAGATAATAAGTGTGCAAAAACGGAGTGGTGAAAAGCCTGCTACAGAATTTGTTGAATCCGAATAGTGTGTGCTGTAAAAGAAATCTGGGCTTCAGGATCAACAGATTTATGATTCCACTATTTTATTAGCTCTTTACTGTGGGCAAGTGTCCTGACCTTGCCCAAGCCCTGTTTTGTTTTCTCTCTCTTTTTTAATACCTACTTTGCCGTTTTGTTTTGAGGATTAAATGAGAAAGTGTATGCCTGGCACATATGATCTCAGAAAATACTAACTGCCAAAGGTGCAATACATTTAGTTGAGGGAGACACTAGGAATAAGACGTAAAGCTGCTTTTGCCTCTAAGGCAAAAATATGCCCTCCCCATTCTATTCTCCAGCAAGAACTACAGCAAGAATAATCTTTTACAAACATGTCACGTGATGTTGTATCTCTTAAAATTTCCAGTTCCTTCCTTTCAGAATAAAACAGAAGTTTCTGCCATGGTCTAGAAAGCTCTACGCTATGCCAATATCTCTCAGTCCCCTCACCTAACAAAGCCAGTGCATTTTCTACCCCTCCATTTGCTGTGTAATTCAGCCATATTGGTCTTGCTGTTCTCAAACTACAAACATGAGTGTCTGCTTTCAGACCTCTGCGCTGTTCCCTCCATCTGGAAAGTCTTTCCTCAAATATTCCATGATTCACTCTCTCACTTCAGGTGTCTGCTCAAATGTCATTTACCAGAGGCCGACCCTAACCACCACCATTGTTCATGCCATTACTCTTTGCCCCTTTCCTCCTTTATTTTTCTTTAATTAATATTGAGGTTAGGACCTTTGTTTCATTCACTATTGTATCCCTAACAATTAGAAGAGTGCTTAGCAGTTATGTAAAATGCTCCAAAAATACTTGTTTTCTCAATGAATGAGGCTAAGAAGGTAGCTTGGGGGCCCATCTGAGGCACCTGATATACTCAGCCAAAAATTTTAGATTTATTCTGTGGGCAAAAGGAAGGGGATTAGCATTTTGATGCAGCCTAAAATGAATATTAATTTTTTTGTTAGTCGCTATATTGATTTGTGCTTGCAGTAAGTGGAACTTGTTTTCAGATACAAAAACCAACCATTTTTTTTCTTTCTAGTATCCAGTCCTTAAACCTGATGACATGGCAATAATACACTGTGTTAATTTCTTTAGATAGTAATGGAAGGTAGAATGCAGACTTATTGTTTTTGTTCAGAGATAAAGTTACTCTTAGTGAAGTTTCTATGATGTTTTGGCGTAAAATAAGTTCCCAGAATATAGTGTTTTTATAATGATGTTAAGAGGGCTGTTGATTTGTTTAGGTTGCAGTAGTAGACAATATTTAATTTATTGAATGATTATTGCGGGGGAGGGACACAAGTAAAAGAAAATAGAAATGAACACAGAGAAGTATCTTTTTACAGGTGTTCCAGAAGCATTGGTGACAGCCACCTGGCTCATGATGGTGCCCCTGAGGAAAAGTCAATGCCCCTTTAGATCATAAATATTCAATAATTTTTAAAAGGGAAATCTGGGGGAAACATAAAACTTTATTCAGAAGCAGATTTACTTATTTGAGACAAAGAATAATAGATATTCCACTAAAAATAAGCAAAGTGACATCAATCATACCTTAATAAAAGGGTTTTAAAAAAAGATGGGGGAAGAAAAAACGAACAGAGTCGCAGATATTTCAAAAATTTCTCTAGTTCTTGTTCTCTGTGTGTGTGTGTGTGTGTGTATGTGTGTGCGCGTGTGCATGTACATGGTTTTATGAGGCAGATTTCTTAGGAGGGTTTAAAATTTAACTGTCTTCTGTTTATTCTCTTATTAGCTAGAGTACCTTAGGCAAATTAACGTCTGATCTTCAATTTCCTAAGTGGAGCTATGGTATCTATCTCACACAGGTGTGAAAATTGAGTGAGGTAATGCTTGTAAAGTGCTTACTTAGCACAGTTCCTGGCATGTAATAAGTAATCCATGTTAGTTGTTACTGGTAAAAATAATTATGCCAGCACATGGTGTCAGAATTTCAGTCAGTAATGACTGCCTGTAGAAACAGACATTTTAATAGTAAGAACGGTTATGCTTTTTAATTCCACTAGAGGGCACCTTTCTCCTACTGTAAACCTGATGTAGGCATAAAGCATTATGACTCTGGCCCCAACTCCCCTTTAGCATCCTCAGCCTCACGATTCCTGTTAGACCACTAATAACCTCATATTGAGCCAGGTCTCTCCCTGGTTATCCTCCCTACACTCACGTAATGGTAGGATGTTTTAGTCTTGGCACATGCTTTTGCCAGTCTAAAGGGGTGGTCCTTGAGAATGTAAAAAGTATAATAATAATTAGCTTTGGGTCTTCAGCAAGACATAGGCTTGACATAGTGAGCTAGGAGCAGAGATTCAAAGGAAATATCCTTATTACTTCTTACCCTGAGGCCTCCCTCCCATATGTATGATTAAATCAAGTGTACCTAGTGGACTGAACCAGTCTCTCCTATTTTAAGTCAGGGGAAAAAAAAGAAAATGTGAGATGGGGAAAGAGGCAGGCAGAAAGGGGCAAAAAAATAAAAAAGGGGATGAGATAGAAATTTTCAGAAAATCACTGTAACTGACATATATCTTCAGTTGTGCCTGGGAGCTGGAGTCCCTGCTCTGGTTTCTGGAAAGCAGCATTCTCTATGACCCATGATCTTAGGTTCAAATGAAAAAGTGTGAACACAGTACCAACTGTGTACTAGGGGTTCCCTGGCTATTGGAAGTCTTCACTTGTCAAGAATGAGCCAGATCCTTCCACAGGCCTCCTTTTTTGGAAGATGCAAGTAAATCAAGAATCTGGTTCAATAATTTGAACAGTATCTTCTCAGGACCACACATCTGACCTTGAATAAAAAGTGGGCAAGTTAGGAATGATTTTGATGTTGACAGATTTGTGATAAATGTCAAAATTGAGACATGACTAGGAGGTTTTCCAAAAGGTAATTAAAAGTGGCCAATCACTGGTTCTGCTGGAACTAGATTATTAGCAATCTAGTAGAAATAATCATCCTTTTAATAAAGCAGGATCTACCCTGCCTGGATGAGGAGCCAATCAATGCTCATTAACTGGTTCTGATCATGTACCTTTCTAAATCACTATAGGTCTTGAACCAGGAAGTGGGGAGAAGTAAGATATGTACTCCAAATAAGGGGTAGGTAAACTATAGTTTGACTCTAGCCTAGTACCAGTTTTTATATGGCCTGCCAGCTAGGAATGTTTTCTACATTTTGAAATAGTTAGATAAAAATTAAAAGATATATCATATTTTATGACAAAATAAATTTAAACTTTAGTGTTAACAAAGTTTTATTGGAACATAATCACAGTTAATAATTTTTGTATTTTCTTTTCTTTTAGACACTGTATGGCTCTGTGTCCAGGGTGGAGTGCAATGGTGTTATCACAGCTCATTCCAGCCTTGAACTCCAGGCTCACAGGATCCTCCCATATTAGCCTCCTGAGTAGCGGGGATTTCAGGCACATGCCACCATGCCTGGCTACATTTTTGTTTTTTGTAGAGATGGGATTTTGACATATTGCCAGTATGATCTTGAGCTCCTAGTCTCAAGCTATCATCCCTCCTTGGCTCACAAAGTGTTGGGATTACAGGTGTGAATGGCTGGCCCATTTTGATCCTTCCTTCCTTCCTTCCTTCCTTCCTTCCTTCCTTCCTTCCTTCCTTCCTTCCTTCCTTCCTTCCTTCCTTCCTTCCTTCCTTCCTTCCTTCCTCCTGCCTTCCTTCCCTCCTTCCTTCCTCCCTCCCTCCCTCCCTTCTCCCCTCCTCTCTGCTCCTCTCCCTTCCCCTTCCCTCCCCATGTCCTCCCTCCCTTCCGTCCTTTCTTTTTTTCTGATACAGTTTCACTCTGTGAGACCAGGCTGGAGTACAGTGGCATGATCTTGGCTCACTGTAACCTCTGCCTCCCAGGTTCAAGCAATTTTCTTGCCTCAGCCTCCTGAGTAGCTGGGATTACAGGCACATGCCACTACACCTGGCTAATTTGTGTATTTTTAGTAGAGACAGCATTTCATCATGTTGGCCAGGCTGGTCTCGAACTCCTGACCTCAAGTGATCCACCTGCCTCAACCTCCCAAAGTGCTGGCATTATAGGCCACCACGCCTGGTCCATTTGCATATTTTCTATGGCTGATTTTGCACTGGATTGGCAGTACTGACTAGTTGCAACAGAGACTGTATATGGTGTTTTCATCACTGCACTGCTGCTCCACACACTACAAATTAAAGTGATATCGTTATTACTTGACAGCATTTTGAGTGCTGCACATATAACTGTACCATAATGTTACTGGAACCAAGCTGGATCTGGCTGCATTTTCTTGAGGCCCAGTAATGAGAAGCAGACAAACTAGGAAAGAAGGGAATTTATTGCTGTAACCGGAAACAGGGAGAAGGCCAGAGATAATTCCACCAGACCAACTCAAAGTGTTAAAATTTTTTTAGTGCTTATATAGGTTGGGGTTATGTGCCTATGTGCATTCGCCTAAGTCTGTTGGTAACTAGTTTTGTTTCAGCTAGAAGATCAGAGGCAAAAAATGCTTGCTAAGTTCAATTTAAAGGGTCCCAGTACTTTCAGGGCCTGTCTACTGTGGTACAGGAGTGATTATTTCTATCTTACCTCCTTTATAGCTTGATCTGGAGAGCTGCCTTGCACTCTCCAATGAATCCATTAAAACGGCTGCCTGTTACCTTGACTCTCAGACAGGTCCTGGCACTAGGAATGTAAGACTGCCTCTATTATTTTGTCTTGTTCCAGGTTTGGGAGAAGTCCATGCAAGACTCCTGCTGACCATATGTTTCATTTCTAGGTTTGATGTCTGGGCACTGATTTCCCTAGGTGTAACTCTGCGCGATGTTAAGGCAGTTCTATGGACATTTGTCTGTGTAGCTGGAGTGCTATGCAGGCCTATCTGTGTGACTGTCATGGAGGCCTGTCTGTGTGATTGTCAGGGAGAATTGGCCTTCCACAATAGCATTGTATTTATTTGTTATTGCCAGTGCATAGCCATCATGTCAAAACAAGATGGGAAAAGTGAACTTCAAATGTCATACTTTTAGGCATGGTGGAGTGTAGATTGTTTTGTTATTAAATTAGAGGGCAAATCATCGTTTTCATTGTGCACTGACACTACAGCTGTGCTAAAATAATACAAATATACATTAACGTTACTAGGCTGAAGATCTATCATAATATTTCCAACTCACAGGAAAGTAAGAGTGAGATGAACTAGAACATTTAATATCATCACTGTAGAATTTATTTACAAAAATAAAAAATTAAAATGAGGCCACTGAGTTTTGAGTGGCTCATTTGTTAATCAAGTAAAGAAATCTGTTTATTAATATTAGGTTACTTAAACTGAGTTCGATTGCAGCAACTGAAGGAATGTGTGCAGAGAAAATACACGTATTTAAGACTATTAGCCCTTTGGGGAGAACCGTTTTTCAAAGAGTTAAAGACATTGAGAGTGACATTGGTAGTCAAATAAAAAGCAGAGAAAAATTCATTTCAATGTTTTTTTTTCTTGTCTCTTGAGTCAGTGATGTTACTGATATTGCTCAGTTGTTTTTTATTTAAGGAGTCAATACCAAGTTTGAAGTGTTTAAATAATTAGTCTCTATGGATAGTCTGCAAATTACAATTACAGGGGGAATATTTTCAAAGAATTTGAGAAAAGCTAACCAAGAAACTTGAAATGGAATTTGCTAAGATTTATTAATACTCATTGTGGTAAAAATATGTGTGAAGCAGAAAAAAAGCTTAGTTGGCCAAATTTACAAATCTTGTCAAAATGTGGAATGTTTAAGGCCTATTCCTGGCATTATTCATTAGCGAGTTCTTTGCAGAAAATATTTGAGTCTACCATATGTTACTAATCCAATCAATAGTGAATTTCATTTACTCTTGTGGATTTAACCATCATCAGTTCGGCATTTTTTTGGGTCAGAAATAGAAGTTTAATCTTTTCTCTTGCCCTAGTAGGCAGCAGTTTGATAACTTAGTAGTTAAGTTTATGTGATATTTCTGAGTTAAGGGGAAAATTAAAATTTTTCAGAATGAGGAAAATCAGCTTCAACTATTAAGGAACACTATATGGCTTTGAAATTAACACTTGAGGTAGATTTCATAATGTTTCTCAATGAATTCCACTTAAAATTACAAGGTAAAACATCACATACATGCAAATATTATACTGTGGTAAAGTTATTTTGATGACAGTTAACATTAGAATCACAAATAATGTCAATCAGTTCTCATGTTTTCAAATGGTAAAACAAGAAGTGAAATCTCCACTCCTACACAGACTTGCAGTGGATGTAATTTCCAAGATCAAATTATAGTTTCAGCAGCACTTTTGGACCTCAATTCAAATGCAATTAAACATTCATTTAATTGTGCAATTGAGGAACTTTCACCTTACCTTCAGTTGGAGGTTATTAATGTAATGACATGCTGAAAGGCAAATATCAAGAGAAGAATCTAACAGAATTTCGTAAATGCTTTCTAATGATGAATATGTTCGACTAAAATAATATGTTTATGGATTGACATTACTATTGGGCAGTACCTATCTGTGTACGAAGACATTTTCAAAGATGAACTTTGCAACTGATCATCATTAACAGATGAACATTTATAAGTGGGTTTGATGACAAGGAGCACTAACTTTGAACCCCAAGTAAGCAAAATGTTATCTCCTAAAGAAGGGAAAGAAGAGTTCGATTTTTCTTATTAGTAGACTTGTATTATAACAAATTATACTCAATTATTATATTTAAAATTTTTTTCTTTAAATTGGTTTTGAAATTAATTTTCTCTCTTGGTATGTAAGTACCTATGTAATATGTAATATCTTTGATTTTAGTTCTAGGACTACAAAGCCTAACCTCCTGCTCTGGCAGAATATTCTTTGAATATATATATGGTTGAAGTAACCTTTTAAGTCATGGCAGAAATATATATGAATACTTATATTCTTTGTATATTTGAATACTTATATTCAATTGCAGCCTAAGTCCTGAAGTTTTCTATATATTTTAAATTCTTATTGATAGGTCTTTTGTCCCAGGGACCTCTGAACATGGAAAGCAACATCAACAACTATGCAGTTTGATGCTGAATTAATAAATACATAAAATTAAAAAACCCAACTTCCAAACATTTAAACAACAATTGCAAGGTGACTAATTCCCTGAAGCAATTTAAATTATACTCAAACTAGTACATCTGATGTTTTTTTAAACAGGAGATAAACTATATACAAATACAATGATTTCAAAACAATTTCTAGAGTTATGCTTAAACCTAAAACATCAGGACCATGACTTAATTTATACTTGTGTATTTGATCCTGTATTTTCCAAGTGTTGTACTTATTTTGATCGCTTCCTATGGTCTTATTATTTTGATTTTTTTCCCCAGAGATTTTGTAATTTCATGTGATGTCATAGGAACTGAGTGTCAAGTTAATTATTGGTTGAGGTATTAGACCTGCTTATAGGAACATTACATGGAGTTCATTTTCTTTTTACAGTGAAGTTTTATGCATTGTACCATGAGAGTTTTAAGCACCTATTGTTCATATTGGTTTTAACTTTTGACTGGTGTTATCACAAAAATAATTTAGTCTTTAAATTTCCCATAGCCAGCAGTACCTGAGCCATTGTCCTGTTATTATATTTTAATGCCTGGATATGTTGGCATTATTAAAACATATTCACTCCTTAAAGAATTTTACTATAATTAGTAAGCTCATCTAGAAGATTTTTTTTCTCCTAGGAGATGATGATTGGCTCTGTAATTATCCCCTCTGTTTAGAAATGTAGCTAATCCATTATTTTTGATAAACAGCCAAACCTTTCATTTACTTGGTAAACGTGCATGATCACAGGTGCTGATAAAAACATCGAGCACTCTTTTTTCCAGGTTACTGTATGTCACCATTGGTGGGTAATTCTCAGTCCTCTCTGTTTTGGGTACTGTATCTGCTTTCCCTAGGACTATTCAGTTCTCTCACTGTCCCCTTCCCTATGTTTACTGTTGCGCCTACACAGAAAAAATATATTCATAATTTATAAAGAAATATATCATTAATAGAAGAAACAAAGGGTACTATAAATACCCTTCTACTCATTAAAATATAGCTTATATTCTATTACTTTATCCTTTTATAACTAGCTTTATCAACGACTTCTATTACCCTTTATTCTTAGAGTATTAGCATGCACATAGGACCTTTCACAGGTGTAATATATTCCAATCAACTACAATACAACTATTACATATTTGAAGCTCAGATTGCCACAGTCTGGCTCTGTGTGAGCCTTTGAAAGCCTCCTATTGTGTTGACATTCTTGAAAGCATCATTGCTCTCTGGCAACAACAACAGGATGTTCCAGACTCTCCTGATATTTTCCTGCCCTACATGTAGACACAACCTCCTTCCACAGAAACAAGAGTTCTTGCTCCTCATGGTAAAGAATAGTATTAGGTACTGTAGTCTGGATACTAGCAGAACACATGAAAGTGAATGTAGGGCAAAAGTACAGCTACTGCAGCTGTTGTTGGACTGTTTTTGGTAGTAATGGAGCTGGAAAATGACATGAATTCAAATTTATGTTTCTTATTTAGTATCTTGTACTGCTATGCCATATCTATGTTTTTTAAAACTGTACTGAATATGGTTTCATTGACCACTTACATTTTCTCCTATGTTAACAGCACACTAGAAGGGTAAGAGAAGGAGAGACTGATGAAGGCTGGACGCATTGGCCACTTCTTGTTAGTGGTTCAGGGTAAGAAATGTTGTTGTACTAAATCGTGAGTATCACACGAGAGTCGATCATTTATTCATTTAAACCCACTAAGTGCCAGGTTTTATACTAAGCTTTACTGATGATGGCTCTGCTCTATGCAATCTATAATCTGGCAGTGGAGGCATTCATGTAACTAGTAATTTTATAAATATTAACTGAAATAAACACTTTGAATGAAACATTCAGGGTATGTTGAGAATGTATTACAGGAGCACTTAATCTAGATCTGAGGATATTAGAGAGTTTTGATAGATGTGAGCAAGGAAAGGAAATGGCAGTTAGCATGTTGGTGGTAAAAACAGTGAACCATGATCAGAAGGAGCTCGCTGTATTTGGAGGCGTTAAGTGGCCCACCCAGAAATGAAATGGTAACCACTGAAGGTTTGTTATTCTTTAAGAAATAATTTCTTTTGCTTCCAAAGCTTTGTGAATTTACAAAAGAAGTCCATGTTTACAGATAGCATTCATTCATACTAAGAATGCAAAAGAGGTGAGAATCTGTGCCACCATGAATGGCAGCCATAACGTCAGGGTTTGCCAGCAAATATACATGGACCATTGTTTAAAATATGTTCCCCTAAACTTGTATAACTGCCTCAGAGATCCTGCAGTTATTACCCACAGTCTCACATTATGTATGTGGGTTGTTGGTGTGACCATTGGGCACTGGAATGATACAGAGGTTTCTCTGCAGTATGTTAATTTTTTCCCCAGGGTATCTTCTATGAAAGTGAAAATTTCAGCTTACTTTGTGAGGATAGAGATCATGGTTTTCTGGCATTCTCAGCTCCTCAGCATGCTGTCTGTGTGGAACAAGCACTTGATGCATGTCAGTTGATCCGTTGGTGTGCTGTAATGGCTTTTGACAACGGGTACCCTTTAAATGGTTGCTTCATTCTTAGGACCATACTTAGTGCTTTTTTGGTTTTTTCATTCTTAAAACTCAGGTTTTGCCACTGTATATTAAAAAATTACAGTCTGTGGTATGCAAGTTAGGGAGATGATGTCAAAGGAAGAGACTGTTCCAGGTGTGTAAAGGCCAGTGAAGTGTTAATAGAGTCTAAAAAGTAACCTGGCTTCCAGTGGATTGATCATCTAACAGAAGAATTACCTAAAATCTCTAAGTTTTAACTAGAAGGAGTTCATTAATGGATGGATCTTATCCCATCTCTCTGGAGTGGATCTGTAGCAAATATGGCAGGTGAAGATTTGAAGAAAGAGTGATGTGGAAGCATTGCTAGGAGTGCAAGAAATCTAAATGTACATTTATTTCCCCCTAAATGGGAGAGGAAGAGACAACTGCTAATCCTTTTCATTTTATGGTGAGTTAAAAGTTTTCTAAAATACTGTCTCCTATCTCTCTTTGGATTTGTATCACAACTTTCTGAAGCGGTTCCCTCCTCTTTGTTTACTGTTGTGTCTAAACAGAAAAAGTATATATTCTTAATTTATAAAGAGATATGTTATTAATAGAAGAAACAAAGTTCTTATAGTAATACTCTTCTACTTATTAAAATATAGCATACATTCTATTGCTTTATCCTTTTACATCACAACTAACTTTATCAACACCCTATATTACCTTTGATCCTTTGAGTATCACTATGAACATAGGACCTTTCGTGGGTTTAATATATTCCAATTAACCACAATATAGCTATTACATATTTGAAGCTCAGATTGTCACAGTTTCACTTTGTATGCCCTTGAAAGCCTCTATGGTGTTGACATTTCTTAAAAGCATCATTGCTCTCTGCTGACAACAGAATGTTCTGGATTCTATTGATTTTTTTTCCTACTCTAGAAGTAGACACAATCTTCTTCTAAGGAAACAAGAATTCTTATTCCTGAAGTGGGCTGTTGGCAAGGGGTGGGGTTTGTGACTACCCATTTATCTGAAGAGTAAGGCATAGGAATTTATGTTCTTTGCCTAAGAGCACATAGTGTATCACCAATAAAACTGAGACTAGCATAGAACTCTATATAAACTCCAGAAAAGGCCTATATGATCACCTTATTAATTAAAATGGCTTGCTCTGACATCACACATTTCTGCCTCCCCTGCCTAATTTTTTTCTCCTAGTACTTACCACTTTTTAATATAGTATGTAAATTACCACTTAAGTTATTAATTAATTATGATTCTTCTCCTAGAATGTAAGCAGCACGAGGGAGGGAATTTTTGTCTGTTTTGTCTACCAGTGAAACCGAAGCATCTAGAACAGTGTCCCGGACATAGTGGGTGCTCGGTCAATATTTGTTGAGTGAATGCACGTGAGCTTTAACAGAAGTTTTCTGGAGCTGGACTCAGCTGGTCTTGTTGTTTCAGAAGCCATCCTGAAGTTTGACTTCTATTATGCCATTATATTGACATTATGAATTATTTATTTGGGGTAAAACATTGCTGGAATGTTGAATATCTTTTTTTTGTGTGTGTGACAGTCTCACTCCGTCACCTAAGCCGAGGGCAGTGGCACAATCTTGACTCACTGCAACCTCCTTCTCCCAGGTTCAAGCAAGTTTTGTATCTCAGCCTCCTGAGTAGCTGGCTAATTTTTGTATTTTTGGTGGAGACAGGGTTTTGCCATGTTGCTCAGGCTGGTCTGACCACCTCAATCCCATCGAGTGATCTGACCACCTCAGCCCCCCAAAGGGATTACATGCATAAGCCACTGTGCCTGGCCTGAATATCTTTATTATTATATCCAATGGAATCCTAAAAAAATGGGAGTATTGGGAAGCTAGTGGTTTCATGTTTTTTTCTCAAAATAATTATATCATCAACTCAAGTGGCAGAGCTAGACATTTAATCTAGTCATAATTTTATACGCATGAGGGAACTGACTTAGCATGGTTAAGGAACTAGCCTAAAATTGTATTGCTATGTAGAGTAGAGCTGAAAGAATAGAATATTTAAATTTTTTTAATTTTGCAAGTTTAAGGATCCTTCCCAGCATTCTCTGATGGCCTGTATTAGAAGCCCATACCCACCCAATGCCTGCAGGGTTAGGGTTCTCTTAAGAGCAAGGGTGTTTCTGGAATGGGTAATGGTGAGGGTAGGAGGAGCAGGAATATGTATTGAGCCTGTCTCACAAAAGAATTTAAATGTATGACATTGATTTTGAGGTGATAAAACATTTAAAGTACTTATTTAAGTTTTATCTGTGGGACCAGTAAGGTGATTTTCCCATCATGTTCTCAGGGTACCATAAAACACATTTTTTTCCTGTTTAATTTTTTGTGTACATTTCTTAGCTGGGATGAATCATACATTAACGTTTGAGGCAAGGGTCTGTGTCTTCTAAATTTACTAATTTTTCACAGTGTCTGTTATATAAAACATTATCATACATCTTTGATATCCAGTGGTCATATGAAAATTGAACAACAGATAAAAAACATTTGCATAATGAGAACATTCATTGGTCCTGTTAGTAGTAAACATTTCAAAGGGAGTAATTAGAAAGAATTGCCCAGCATTGTCTTATCAACCTTTTCCACCCGAATGATTATAAAGGTAGACTAACATAGAGATGGGGAAAATTTCTTATTGGAACTTAATAGCCCTGCTTTTTCTCCTTTACCAGCATGGTATAAAGAAGACTCTTTGGCTCAGTTTTTCTGAGGAAAACGATATTCTTTTGTGATTGGATATATTCCAGGAAGATAAACTCAACTCATGTAATGAAGAGTTATATATTCGGTTTCTCCCTTTAACAGATATTGCAATCAGCAGCTCTTTATACTTGCCAAATGTATTATTAGTTATGTCTAGCCCTTGTGATGGAGATAAACATTTCAGAGAATAAAACTTGTGGCATGCCCTAGTGGGAAATAAGTGCTGGAAAAGTTATAAATATGTTTTCATTTTAGTTTGTGGTGAAAAATAGACCTGCCAAATGTATAATGGTAGAATACAACAGAACTTTATTGCTTGTATATGCAAGAGTTTGAGATGGGTGTTTTTCCCTGGCAGGTGGGTTTCCTCTACACTGACCTGGGGACCCAGGCTCCTACCATCTAGTAGATCTGCCCCCCAACCAGGGCATCACTGCATTCACCTGCTGAAAGCGTGAGGGGGAATAGTGGGGGATTATATTCTTTTTTTTTTTTTTTAATGTCTGAGCCTGGAAACGGCACACAGCATTTTTGCTCATAGTCTGTTGATTAAAACTCAGTTGCATGGCAAAACCTGATCGTAAGGGATGGTGGGAAATATAGACTAGTCATGTGCCCAAGGAAAAGATGTAATGGATATTCTTCATGACTTTCCTTCCTCCTTCCCCTTTGCTTTCTTTTTAATTTTTATTTTGAGATAATTTTAGACTTTAGACTTGAAAGTTGCAAAGATATTCCCTGAATAACTTTCTTTCAGCTTCTCCTTATGTTAACATCCATGTAATGATAAAAGAATTTTCAAAACCTGGCACAATACTATAAACTATAGACCTTGCTTAGATTTCACTAGTTTTTCCTGTAATGTCATTTTTGTGTTCCAGAATCCAATTCATTTAATTGTCACATTTCCTTAGTCTCCTCCAATCTGTAATAGTTCTTGTCTTTCTGTTTTTTATAATCCTGTCACTTTTGAAGACTCAGTAATTACCGTTCAGTAGTTTTGTAAAAATGTCACTCAATTTGGGTTTGTTTGATATTTTCTCATGATTAGAGTGAAATTAAGCATTCTAGTGAAGGCTACCATAGACTGGAGGGGATTTGCCCTTCTCAATGCATCAAATCAGGGGTATGTGATGTCGATGTGTATTATAAGTGATGTTAACCTTGATAACTTGGCTAAGGTGGTGTCTTCCAGAATCCTCCACTATAAAAATCACTATTTTCCAGCAGGTGCAGTGGTTCACCAAAAGTGCCAGGCGCGGTGACCCTAAAGTGCCTGGAATCCCAGCATTTTGGGAGGCCGAGGTGAGATCACTGGAGCCCAGGAGTTCAAGACCAACCCAGGCAATATGGCAAGACCCTGTCTCTGCAAAAACTTTTTTAAAAATAAAATAAAATTATTATTTTACCTTGGCAATTATCAAATATTTGAGAGAAATACTTTAAGAACATGCAAATATTATTTACTGTTTACCTTTCAATCAGTAATTTTAGCACTTATCAAAGGATCTTGCTGCAGCAATTTATTACTGAGATAGTCTAACGATAATGTTCTGTTTCCTTCATTAAAAAATAAAGTTTTGGTGGATCTGAGAGTTATATAGATATTAAGAATTCTTGCCCTCCTTTGCATGTCCCCCATTTTGGAGATTAAAGTGACTATGATTTAAATGATGTTAAGCCATCACTTTATATATATATATGTGTATATATATATATATATATATATATATATATATATATATATAGTTTTATTGCACTTTAGGTTCTGGGGTACATGTGCAGAACATGCAGGATTGTTGCATAGGCACATACATGGCAATGTGGTTTGCTGCCTCCATCCCCCCATCACTTATATCTGGCATTTCTCCCCATTTTATCCCTCCCTAACCTCCCTACCCCCTGCTGTCCCTCCCCTATTTCCCCCCAACAAACCCTAGCATGTGATGCTTCCCTCCCTGTGTTCCATGTGTTCTCATTGTTCAATACCTGCCTATGAGTGAGAACATGCAGTGTTTGATTTTCTGTTCTTGTGTCAGTTTGCTGAGAATGATGGTTTCCAGATTCATCCATGTCCCTGCAAAGGACACAAACTCATCGTTTTTTATGGCTTCCTAGTATTCCATGGTGTATATATGCTACATTTTCCTTGTCCAGTGTGTCATTAATGGGCATTTGGGTTGGTTCCAGGTCTTTGCTATTGTAAACAGTGCTGCAATGAACATATGTGTGCATGTGTCTTTTTTTTTTTTTTGAGACGGAGTTTCGCTCTTGTTACCCAGGCTGGAGTGCAATGGCACAATCTCGGCTCACCGCAACCTCCGCCCCCTGGGTTCAGGCAATTCTCCTGCCTCAGCCTCCTGAGTAGCTGGGATTACAGGCACGCGCCACCGTGCCCAGCTAATTTTTTGTAATTTTTTTTAGTAGAGACGGGGTTTCACCATGTTGACCAGGATGGTCTCGATCTCTTGACCTCATGATCCACCCGCCTCGGCCTCCTAAAGTGCTGGGATTACAGGCTTGAGCCACCGCGCCCGGCCGCATGTGTCTTTATAATAGAATGATTTATAATCCTTTGGATATATACCCAGTAATGGGATTGCTGGGTCAAATGGAATTTCTATTTCTAGGTCCTTGAGGAAGCGCCACACTGTCTTCCACAATGGTCGAACTCCCACCAACAATGTAAAAGTGTTCCTATTTCTCCACATCCTCTCCAGTATCTGTTGTGTACAGATTTTTTAATGATCGCCTTTCTAACTGGCGTGAGATGGTATCTTAATGTAGTTTTGATTTGCATTTCTCTAATGACCAGTGATGATGAGTATTTTTTCATATGTTTGTTGGTCTCATATATGTCTTCTTTTGAAAAGTGTCTATTCATGTCCTTTGTCCACTTTTGAATGGGTTTGTTTGTTTTTTTCTTGTAAATCTGTTTTAGTTCTTTGTAGATTCTGGATATTAGCCCGTTGTCAGATGGGTAGATTGCAAAACTTTTTTCTCATTCTGTTGGTTGTTGGTTCACTCTAATGATTGTTTCTTTTGCTATACAGAAGCTGTGGAGTTTAGTTAGATCCTATTTGTCTATTTTGGCTTTTTTGAAAGGATTTAAGGATAAGGGACACTGTCACAGCTTTGTAGTGCTTAGATATGGTGCAAATGGGAAGCTTGCTGAAATGGCAGTAAGAAAACTAGGGTTTCAGTTATAATTCTACTATTAGCTGAATGTAAGGAGCTGTTTTTACTCTAATTTTCTAATTTGTAAAATGAGAGTAATTCTATACATTGTCCAAAGTAATGTATAAGGATGTAGTACTTTGAATTACTAGGAAGGTTAATATCTGTTTTATGAATTTAGGGTATCCTTATTATACCAATTAAAATGTATTGAAGTGGCAAGCCTACTTGTGCTTATTTAAGAGGAACAAGGCTGACATTTATTGTACATTTACTGTGTGCAGGCCCAAGCTTTGAATCCATTAACTAATTTGATCCTCTTGGACTTTTCTGAGAGCAATGTTATTAGCCCCATCACATAGATGAAGAACTTGAGGCCCAGGGAGGCTAAATAACTTGCTCCAGGCCACACAGTCAATAAATGATGGGGAATTGAACCATGGTGGTCCAGCTCCAGCGTTTGGACTCTTTACTACTTCACTGTGCACTTGTGCCCTGGTTGCAGAATGGATGTTCATCTAGTACATGCTATTGTGGCCATACTAGCTAACTCCTTCTATTCATAAATGTTTAAGTTCTTAAATATTTAAGTAGTTAAATATTTTGTTAAAAATTTATATTTAACAAGGTTGTTAAATAGGTTGTTAAATATTTTGGGTATAAGCCTGGGCACTGGTAAATAAAAATATTCATATGCCCTAGTTATGTTTGAATTGAGCATGTATTCCATTTGAAAGTGTAAGTGAACCAGAGGAAATATTTTTGGTTTCTATGATTGGAAGCACAATAATTTAAACATTGAAGTGAAAACAGAAGTATTGGACGTGTATTTGTTAATTATTCTTCCCAATTTTGAGGCATTAGTCCATGTTTGTCCATGGCCACAACATAAAAGTAGTATGGCTCTTGTTTAAAGGTGATTATTAGGTGTGTGATTGGGTATGTTATAAGGAAATCTAAGTATGGTCACCAATTTCTATTATACACATCTGGCACTTGCTTGGTGATTTGGCTCCTATTGTAATATCTGGTTCAGTTTACAATTCTGCCTATTTTCTTCCCAGTCTGCCAAGCATTTTTTTAATGGTCTGAAGAACTCACTGCATTTCTGAGGTTTCTGTGAAATTTCTGTGAGGTTTCTCCCTTTATTGGTGGGAGTGTAGGAGTCCTCTGGACTATCCCACAGAATTACCTTTATGTGCATTAAAATGGTTTAAAAAACATTGCTGCTTTCAGCTGTACAGCTTCAATTCACCTTGAACCCTTTACATGTATATTAAAGGCATGAAGTTTTGCCGGAAATAGAAGTTGTAGAAAAAGCTCTGACTGACAGTGGGTGAGCTGGGATTTTGTTTTGGCTCTGCCAGTGACTTATTCTGTTTCCTTGGGGAAAATACTTAGCCTCTTTGGGCTCCTTATCTGCAACGATCAAAATGACCTTATCCAGTTGCAGCTTTCTTTGATTCACTGCTTCAGTGAGTTTTAGTGTAGTTTAGTTAATGATTTGTTTGTCTTGCCATTTAAAGGAATGCTAAGCACAGCCCCCAGATAATGCTTATGACAGAAGGCTGCATTTTCACATTTCCAAGAAAGAACAGTAAATGGTGGTGTAAAATTTTTTTTGAAGATTCATATAGTACTGTTGTCTGATAAGACAAGAAAAAAAGTGGTCTCACTATATTTCATGGAGTCAAAAAGACCACTCATTTTAAAACATATCTCATTTTCAGAGATATTAAAATGTGGAAAAATATGTATTTTAGATTTGATCAAACATGGTAGGAAGGCCCCAAGGTCATCTCTCCATCACTTGATCATAGATTAACCTATTGCCTTTCTGGAGCCAAGGCTGCCTGACCTAGATGCGGTACATTCTTACCATATGGTCTGTCATACAGCTGCTTATAGACAAGCCAGAAATTTGGACTAGAATGTAATTGGCTAAGTGTGCCCACCTAGTGTGGCTATGTTGAGATTTGAAGGCTCAGCTCACAGTTGCAATTTCAATGAAGACTTGCCTTCTTAACTTTCTCAGATACAATCAGTCTTCTGTATACTCACAGGACCTTGTATATATTTCTACATAACACTTAGCACATTTTGTTGTAGTTATTTGCTTTCTTTTCTGTCTCTCCTTCTAAATTATGCACACTCAAAATTCTCTTAATGTTGTACAGTAGTGGCATACAGCCTGGAATATAGTAGGCACTCTTATCATGTTTATTAAAGGAGTAAAAGTAGGAAGGCAGGAAGGAAAGAAGGGAGGCTGATTGTTCTGAGGATTATAGTAGGGATTTTAGATTACTCAGCCACCATTCATCACTAGGAAAAAAATATGCAAAATGAATTTTCTGTAAAGATTAACTTTTAGGTAACAGGATGATTTCATAAAAGTATTAGGAAAATTACATTATTAAGAAATAAGACTGATCTGGGTAAAAAAAAGAAAAGTTTACTAGGCTAACCACCCCTATTAGATGTCAAAGAGAACCAATGTCATGGAAGAATATTTTGACAAAGTTGCTTTGCTCTAATACTAAACTGGCTTGTGATTTGAGGCAGTTACCATACCTCTCTATACCTCAGTTTCCTCATCTGTAAAATGGAAATAATCATAGCATCAGATAATCACTGTAAGAATGATATTACATAATGTTTGTAAAACACTCAGCACAGCACCTAGCACATAGTGAGAGAAGGAGATAAGTGTTATTGTTACTATCTCTGTATGTGTCATCAGTGGGCAAAGAGATTAGGACAGAAGAAAGTGTCTTATAGGTTTTTCATTTGGCAATTCTTTCAAGGACTTTTTAAACCTAAGATTGTAATTGGATAGACAGTTTCCTTATTTCATGTCCTTCATGTTCAGCTCTTACTCCTTACTTAAAAATTCTCATTCTTCTTCTCTGGTATCTCCCAGTTTGCTAGAGCTATCTTTTCCTCTCCTCTCCTTTCTTTTTCAGTGAATTGCTTGTTCCTTTTTCCCAGTGGACAGCTCAGCATTTGAAATGTATGAAGATGCAAATAAATAGTTTGTCTATAGGGATGATAAACACTATCTCTAGAATGGTAATGTGGGGATTTATACCTTGTGATTAGTTCCCTCTAAGACCTTATGCAGAGCTCAGGCAAGAACCCCTTTTTAGATCAGCTCTTCTTAAGTGATCCTCTTCAGAAAGATAGCATCTCCTGCTCTGAACATTTTCTGATTTGCCCTCTCTCATAAACGCTAAACTCACACCCTATTTAGCTCTTCAGTGACCCAATTCTGTTTGAATTGTTGCTTATAGTATTAATAAGTGCTTTTGACTCAATGGTTGTTAGAACCAGGTAAAATATATGCCTCTTAACTGGGGCTTTCTACGGGCAGTGTCTTATTATGCTGATCATTGAACTGCAGACAAGTTAAAAGGGGAAACTTTTTTTTTACTTTTCATTTTTATTTTTGTTCAGCTTGTTTTTCATTGCCCTTCTTTTAACATTTGCTTTATCAATCTGGGGAGGCAGAATAATAATTTTTCCTCTCTTCTATTTAAAGGGATCCAGGGGGTTTTCAAACTCCAAGTTGTAATCCACTAGTCATGAAATCAATATAGTGGGTTTGAACTGACATTTAAAAATTAATACAATAACAAATATTGTTTGTGAAACTTTTGTTTCAGTAGTGTGTATGTATGTATGTGTGTGTGTTTGTGTATGTATATATGTACGTGTACTGGATCACAGTAGGAAATGTGTTTCTTAATGTGGATACAGTAAAAAAAAAGTTTGAGAAGCACTGATCAAGGCCATTGATTAAGGAAGAAATAGTAATGTCTAGCAAAGTGTTACCCTTAGTTATATAAAGTTATATGCTATCGTTTTCTTTTGAAAATGTAAATGTGAACTTAGAGGTGTGTGTAAATGTAAGGTTTTCTTTGAGAATGCTGGTTCATCAGTATTACATTTTAATGATCTGGCTGGGTGTTGTTATGAGCACTTATATAGTTCCAGCTACTTGGGAGGCTGAGGCAGAAGGATCTCTTGAGCCCAGGAGTCTGAGGTCAGCCTAGGCAACATAATGAGACCCCATCTCTAAAACAAAAAATATAATTAATTGATCCTGATTATAGGCCGTGATAATACTTTGATTTAGTGGAATAACAGGAATCAGGAGAAATTCTTTCTACATCTGCAATTACAGATAATAATGTGGCTTTCCGAAGACATATATGAGGCCAACAATCATATGAAAAAAATGCTCATCGTCACTGGTCATCAGAGAGATGCAAATCAAAACCACATTGAGATACCATCTCACGCCAGTTAGAATGGCGATAATTAAAAAATCTGGAGACAACAGATGCTGGAGAGGATGTGGAGAAAAAGGAACACTTTTACACTGTTGGTGGGAGTGTAAATTAGTTCAACCATTGTGGAAGACAGTGTGGCGATTCCTCAAGGCCTTAGAAATAGAAATTCCATTTGACCCAGCAATCCCATTACTGGGTATATATCCAAAAGACTATAAATCGTTCTACTATAAGGACACATGTACATGAATGTTCATTGCAGCACTGTTTACAATAGCAAAGACCTGGAATCAACCAAAATGCCCATTGATAATAGACTGGATTGGAAAAATGTGGCACATATACACCATGGAATATTATGCAGCAATCAGAAATGATGAGTTTGTGTCGTTTGTAGGGACATGGATGAATCTGGAGAACGTCATCCTCAGCAAACTGACACAAGAACAGAAAATGAAACACCGCATATTCTCACTCATAGGCGGGTGATGAAAAATGAGAACACATGGACACTGAAAGGGGAGTACTAAACACTGGGGTCTATTGGGGGGAAAAGGGGAGGGCCAGTGGGAGGGGGTGGTGGGGAGGGATAGCCTGGGGAGAAATGCCAAATGTGGGTGAAGGGGAGAAGGAAAGCAAAGCACACTGCCATGTGTGTTCCTACGCAACTGTCTTACATGCTCTGCTCATGTACCCCAAAACCTAAAATCCAATAACAAATTAAAAAAAAAAATGTGGCTTTCCACAAGTCATTGCTCCACCCTGGGCCTCAATTTCCTCATCAGGAAAATGAGACATAGAAGTTAAGCTAGAGGCCGGGCACGGTGGCTCAAGCCTGTAATCCCAGCACTTTGGGAGGCCGAGGCGGGTGGATCACGAGGTCAAGTGATCGAGACCATCCTGGTCAACATGGTGAAACCCCGTCTCTACTAAAAATACAAAAAATTAGCTGGGCACGGTGGCGCGTGCCTGTAATCCCAGCTACTCAGGAGGCTGAGACAGGAGAATTGCCTGAACCCAGGAGGCGGAGATTGCGGTGAGCCGAGATTGCGCCATTGCACTCCAGCTTGGGTAACAAGAGCGAAACTCCGTCTCAAAAAAAAAAAAAAAAAAAAAAGAAGTTAAGCTAGAATCTTTAGCATTCTTTATAATGCAGAATTTCTGTGTTTATATCTTAAGACGAGTTCCCCTTAAGACCGTTAACACAGAGCTCAAGAAAGACTCTTTAAGCCAGCTATAATTTTAAGAAATGTAGTTCCCTCTGCTCTGATTCAACATGAAATAATTAAAATATAAATTTTAAGTATACTTTAAAAATAGCCCTTTTCATCATGTTTGTCAGTCAATTTTAGTTGAAGTTAGTGTAAAGAAAAATTTAAGAACCGAGAAAGGAGGCAATATTTCTAACGCATCATGAGTAGAGAATAATGGCTTTCTAATTTTTCCTAGGGAAAGAAGAGGCTGTGGTCACAGGTAAGCATTTTCCTGGTGTGTCTCTTGATCTGCATCATTACCACAGCAGTAGGAGTGCGGATTCTCTCCTTGGGCTATATTAGCAACTCATGCAGACATTCATTTCAAAGCTGAAGCCTGGCCTCTGCAAGCAATGATTTCCATAGTATAAAAAGCTATTGATCCAGGATTTCAGTTTCTTTATTACTTACCTAAATCCAATGTATGAAACACACACATTAGGAAAAATAATTATTCCAATGGCAACTTTAAAACCACCTTTCCATTGCATGTTTGCCAAACTTTCTTCTCTATTGGACGGAGTGAACTGTGAGCCGGAAGGATGAAGGAAAGTGAGATATAGAGAAGAGGGGAGAGTTGTGTTGATGTTGGCCTCAGACAGAGATGTGCTTCAGTGAATAGTTCCATGTGTGACTAGAATAGAGAATTGCAGGTGGACAAATGGAAATTACTCCATTCTCTTGCCAACCTAGGTGTCTTTTTTTATGTCTAACAGGATCTACACTGATAATGCTACATGTATTACTATTGCCATTCCTGGACTCTTACAGACCTATTCCTCCTCTTCCTTTCTAGGACTCCAAAATTCAGCTCACCACCATTGATTGCCTTTTCCCTTTTTCCTCCTTCTTACTCTATAGGTCATGGTGGCCTCATGCTCCTTAGGAGATGGACTCCATGCTTATGGTGGCTCATTTATGGTTTTCCAGGTGTTTGAATTCCTTGGTGGTACAATCTGGTGGGCTCGGTACAGGAACAATGTCAAAGATGATCTCAGCAATGAAGAAGAGGCCTTTGGCACCAGCTTGAACAGTCGGAGATCACAAATGACATTAGGGACCCTTAGGATAAAAAGCAATGGCCTCCGGGCCCTTCATTGGTACTTCAATGCCAATGAACATGGCTGTTGTGCTCAGGTATAACTGGTTTGCCCACACTCTGCTCTTGAGCATCTGTGTTGTTTGTCCTGGAGAATATGATTTTAGTTGTTGCAAAACCTGCTTAACTAAGAGATAGACAAATATTTAGGTTTCGGCTATATGACTAGATTAGTTAGCCTTGAAGCATTGGTCTGTTTGTTTAAATTATTTTTGGCATCACTTTGAACTCTTTTCTTCAGTATGAAATCATTTTTCACACACTATTAAAATAAGATCACTGTTTAGTCCTCTGAGCCAAAGCTAAAACTGGCAGCTCTGATCTAATGATCAAAGAAATAGCAGCTTTTCTCTAAGGAAAATAACAGCAACCAGAATAACAAATGAGTTTGCTGTGTTCAGCCTGGAGTCTCTAAGATCAGGCCAACTGGATGCCCTTTTGTGGTTCAGACTTTTCAGAATGTTCTTGAAGTCTAGTGAAATAGAGATAGCTGGAGGCAAAATGAGTGTCCTTACTTGAATTTAAAATAATTCATTAATTCCCAAAAGTATTTATTGGTTTCCTTCTGCATTCCAGACACTGGGAAGCAGTAGTGACTAAGCCCTCACAGAACTTTCAGAGTTTGGTCTTAACCTGGTGATTTAGTTAAAGATGCATAGCCAATTTTACATGATATTTTTGTTGTAGTTCATAAAGCCCTCTTTTTTATTCTTGGAAAATGCATTCAATTTTAGAGTTTATGACAGAAAGAGAGATTTGAGTTTCCTTTATATGAGACCAAACTCTTCTTTTTTTCTCATATGAGAATAGGAGCTCAGAGAAATGAGGTGGTTTTTCTAAAGATAAATTGTGGTCATTGGATTCACTGGGACACAGCTCATGTTTTCTGACTTCTTTTTCCACATAAACAAAATATGTAAAAGAGAATAATCTTTAAAAAAGATTTGTTTTCATGGCTTTGACTGAGCAGTGGCAGAGCAGTAGGAAAAAAGGCAGCTCAGTAGACTTTCCTGGAGGAGGATCCCTAAAAACAAACTCCAAGCTAGGGAGATTGGTCTGGAGCATTCTCTAGTAGAAAACAGGCCCTGGGACTCAGCTCAGCCTGAGGAGGTTGTTCAGGCAGTTCTGAGAGTTTATAATGTGAGCTAGATGGAGTTGAATATTCTCTAGATACCCAGATAATTGTGGGATTACTGTTTCTCACAATCATGATAAGAAACCACGCAATAGCATGTGAAGAAGTCCCTCTACTGCACTTGTCCAGGGAGATTGCTTCTGCTTCTGAGTGTCTTTATGGAAGATTTTCAAGGAACCCTGAGAGTAGGGTGGGCAAGCTGGCTGGTGTGCCTGGCTTCACTATGAAGATCACATTGACTCCTATGTTATCTCTGCTCTGTATCTGGAGTAATAGGTGCCCTGATATGAATAGGTACATATTTGTTGCTCCTTGCTTGTGGATGAAGAGTGAACTCTTTAGAGGGTCACTTTTCCCCTGCATCATTAATACCCATCTGGATTTGAGTTATACATGTCTGTATAGACAGAACAAAGACTTCTTTTTCATCCACCCCTATTACTGCTCCACTATGTGACCATGAGTCTCTGTTAAAACAGAAATAATGGTATCTTCTCTGCCTACCTCAGAGGGTAATACTGAGGAACAGATTAGAGAATGAGAAAGTATAGAATTTTATATAAGCAGAACCAAAATATGGTTTAGTATTCATAAGAAATATAGACTTTGGAGCCAGACTGCTTAGGTCCAAATCTTGGCTTTTCCATTGGCTAGCTAAGTAATCTTAGAAAAATATATTCTTTCCAAAGTTTTCTCTTTTGTAAAATAGTCATGATAATATTATCGTGCTTCATAGGATTGACATAAGAAATAATCAAGTTGAATCAAGTAAAGTGATCAGATGAATACCTGACATATAATAAAGGCACTACAAGTTAGCTGTTATTACTAAAATTGTATGTAGACTTTTTCTTATATGGAAAACACACACATATCTGTATGCATACATACACACAAACACATGCATTCGTACCTGTACAACCAACTAAGAACGTGCACACATTGTACCCAAGTGGCTTCAGTCTTTTTAAACTTTAAAACATGCAGTCTTTGTCTTTGTTTTGTTTTTTTGAGACAGAGTTTCACTCTTGTTACCCAGGCTGGAGTGCAATGGTGCGATCTCCACTCACTGCAACCTTTGCCTACCCAGTTCAAGCTATTCTCCTGCTTCAGCCTCCCAAGTAGGTGGGATTACAGGCATGTGCCACCATGCCCAACTAATTTTGTATTTGTAGTAGAGACGGGGTTTCACCATGCTGGCCAGGCTGCTCTCAAACTCCTGACCTTATGTAATCTGCCTGCCTTGGCCTCCCAAATTGTAAAACATGCAGTCTTACTAGAAGGTGATATTGCCCCCCAGAGGGCAACAACTGGTTATTGAAGAAGACAAAAGTCTTACCATTTTATGCATAAAGAATAGATATACGTAGAGTATATAAACAATAGAGGTATACAGTATACTGATGCACAGTATTGAGTGGTATTAAAATTGCCTAGGGTGGTGATAGACAAGTCTAAAAGCATATCTTAGAGGGAAGGTAATGAAAAGATGTTGAGAAACATTGCTCCAAAATGATGTTGGTTAGTTTTTCTGTTTATATTTTAGGGAACAGCATAGATCGGGGTGGTTGATGATGATGGTGGAGTAATTACCACATACAATGTTGCAGCTGGCCAAGTAATCGTCTTCCCTAAAAATATACTATACTGGATAAAGAATGTGGGGAATGAAGACTGTTTCTTCTTGCTCTTCTTTTCCATACATGATGAACTTCGGACCTTGGATGTTGATGATGTATTTTTTTCTGCAACTGAGTCATTGCTTCCAGGTCACTTAAGGTAGGAACCATATCTGAAAACACATATCACCCTGAAGGTATGTATTACATGGGCACAAAAAGGGCATGAGTGTTTGTAACTCTAGGGCAGCAGTTAGCTAAGTCCAGGGGAAATTGACTAATAGGTATATATTATAATATATAATATATAATAACAGTTGGATAAAGTACATCTTATATTTCTCCTAATGACAAAATCTTGTTGAAACTGAGTTGTTTTATTTTCTTTTATGAAAGTTTTCCATAGGGAACTATAATGTATTGGCAGAAAGATTACAATATAATTAACAGAAAATTTGCTATAATTTGTATTTCTGAAGAGTCATCAAGTCACCCATTCTTTCTGTGGGAAGAAGTTTGCTATAGATAATGTAATCATGTTTTCTTAATTTCATACAGAGGAGCACATACTTTTCCTAAAGAATTGTAGTTACAGTATCACTGGGGAGTGCTCACTGATAGTGCTGGTTGCAGAAGGTAAGGTCTTGATTCAGACAGTGCATCGACTGTTGGTGAAGAGAATTGGTGATGGCTTATGATTGGCAAGTGGAGGGAAGTAAGCTTAGAAATTTATATCATGAGCAAGCTTAGAAAATTTATATAGTGGTAAACTTAGACATTTATATAGTAAGTTTTTGAGATCTACCTTTAGTGGATCCTAGGCTAATGCTATGGGGAGAAGTAGAAGAAATGAGTCATTAAGTAGAGTATTGGCAAGTATGGGAAGCAGTGTGTACATTTCCAGGAGTTTATTTAAAAAAAAAAACCAACACAATTAAACCCCAAATACATTGAAAACAATGGGGATTTTCATAAATATCAGAAGCCTTAGGCTAATTAAGTTCAGCTCTTCTGACTAGGACATGAAAACCACACTGGTGCTAATGCTACTCTATCCTCAGCTACCAAACCTTCTATTACTAAAGTTTGTAGAATGTTTCATAAATATATTGTGTGGTTCCTTATGTATTTCAGCATGTAGGTGGAGTTAATTTCATTAGAACATTTCATAATCAAAAATAAGATCAAGGGGTCAATGTTTCTTCCAACTTGGCAGAACTCGTTATGAAAGCTAGTTATATGCAGTCCAGGCAGCCTTGTGTGGAGATTTTCTTTGACATTAAAGGTATAGTACATTATTTTGTGAAGACTTTAGTTAATTATTTATATATATAATAATATATGTCTATTTGATTGACATGTGCTTTTTTAAGGTGGGCCATAGTCAAGAGGAATTTGAAAAAAACACACTTCTCAACAGAGTAGGAAATTTAAGAAGAGGCCTGGAGGCAAAAGAGAATATGACACAGGATTCCAAAGTATGAGGGGTGTATTGGCACCCAGGGGTTCTGCAAGAGAAGCTGGAATGGAGGAGGAATCCAATCATGCAGGTTTTGGAAGCTGTGCCAATGAGTTTCTACAGTAAATTGATTGAAAAGAGGAGCAATTGAGGGTTTTTAAATAAGAGAGCGACAAATTTATTTTGCTTTTTAAAGTGATGACCACTTTGGCTGAATTGTAGAGAATGGATTAGAAGGGGCTAGTGGGAGTCAGGGAAATGAGTCAGGGGGACTTTTGAAGTCCTTCCAGTAGGGACAAACTGCATTACAGCAGTTATGAGAGGGAAAGAATTGGTGTAAAGCAAATAATTTAGAGGTAAAGCAGACAGGACGTGATCACTGACTGACCTGAAGGGTAAGGTAGAGATTGGTGTTTAGGATGACTCAAGTTTTCTAGTCAGGTGCCATATAAGAGTTTATTCTAAAGACGACACTCTATGTTAGAAACGTCAAGATAAATTAGAACGTAGGCTAATATCTGGCTGTATTAGGTTACTACCTTGGGAGCCCATGCAATGTGGTGTCAGCCATTCCTGCTACAGAACTTTTCTGTGAATATAGAAGAGCTATGTACTTTAATGGGACTAAATTTGGCTTTCTATCAAAGTACTATTTTGAAGTACTTTATCTTATTTTATTGTTAAACTTCATCTGACTTAGGCTTAAAAAAATTAGTTTCCAAGAGGAATAATACAAAAAGTACAATATTGGAAAAATGGAAGTAAATTAAGAAACAATGAAAAAAATTTAGTAAGTTCCTGAGTCAGGTAATTGAGAACATTGTTTTGATGAGCATTAGGATGGATAAAATGTGAGATTTAAATTGAATTCAGAAATCTTTTGGACAAAAGAAAAAGGAAAGATCCAGTCAAACATTGGTTGACTTGATCATTGTAATGGTTACTTGAGGCTTCAATGTGGATTTAGGAACTAAACTTCTCTGGTATAGACAGTCATATTAATGAAAAGACTGGATGCCTGTGAGAGTTCCTTTTTTATTTTTTATTTTTATTTGTTTTTAAATGCTCAACCGGTTATATTATCTCATTGCGGTGTCAGATTCTCTGGGTTCAAATCCAAATTTTGCCATTTCTTAGCTGTGAGAACCTAGGTAAATTCCTCGACCAACTTGGATTTTAATTCCATCATGTGTAAGATGGGGAGAATAATACCACTGACCTTATAAGATTTGTTGTGAGGAAGCAGCGACATAATAAACTTAAAAGACATAGAAAATTGCATATTCTTGGTGAGGGCTACATAAATATTAATTTTTATTATGATTGTATGAATTGCTAAGTTGCTGAGTAGGATGTTGGCTAATGGGTTTCTTTTCCCTTTTACATTTTTAAGCATCAGAATGCCCTCACTTGGACTACATTCAGAAATTATAACAGAATTATAATGGATTATAACAGCCACATTTTTATTTTAATGCAAATGAAATGCACTATGTGTTAAGTGGATGTAGAAAGGTAATTTATCTCTAAACATTTTTTTGGGGAGATTTACTTTTTAATGTAGAAACAAGCAAATGAGAGGTATTTTTCATTTTGCTTTAGTTGTTACAACAAAAAGGACTCAGTCCTAACGGCTTTCTGGGCATAGTTGCTACAGAGAAAACCATGAAGATCCTACTAGGTAGCTTCTGAGTTTCATGAGACAGAAAGATTCAAGATGTGCATGAGAAGAGGCTAAGAATATTTCAGAAGTGGTAAAGATGTTATCATGATGATGGAGAGTAGGTTTTCAGTTTTACATCTTCAGGTAATGCATAGTGGAAGGTGCCGCCCTTGGGTGAGTGTGAAGTAACAGATTGCCTCTCAGTGTAATGTGAGTGTGGGTAGCTGGGGAGACATGGAGCTTCAGTAGGGTGGCTGTACATTGCAGTTTGTCTAGGGTACCCCTGATATATACTTGTCTTGGCGAAGTTATTGATCACCCTCTTTAACTTTCCAGAAAACTTGGTTTGGATGATCAATTATATGGGTACCCTAAGAGAAGCCAAGCTGTGTAGTATGTTTCTATAATGATTTGACTGTGGTTCCTCCAGAGTTTCATGGAGTTCCATGGGGAAATCAACAATAGTATATACAGATGAAATGGGTTTCTCTAGCCTTACCTTTCTTCATCTTGAAAGAAAGAACTAAAACCGGACTGGAACTTACTCATTATGTTACCATAGCAAAAGTCTTGTTTTATGTTTTTAGAAGTGAAAGCTTTAATAAATTGGAAAAGGGCATTGTGATTTTTCACAAATTATATTTCAAGGATTAGACTTCATTTTGTTTTGTGTGTGAGCATTTGTGTACAAATTTAGTCTTTAACTTTTTTAAGGAAGATTGTTAGGATGCTGCTATTCTAGAAGGATGACTTTTCCCAAGCAGAGGAAGCAAAGGGAGGCATGGGGGTGGTAAAACACTGAAATGTAAATCTTCTGCCTGTTGTGTCAGGGAACATCATTTGTAACCCTTAATTAGAACACAGTGATTGATGCCCTTTTTCATGATGCTCTATGTATTGAACTCACTCATACATTTTAAGGAGCATTTACTTTAATATCTTTTCATTTTTGTGGGGCTAGGAGATTTTATGTGAAAGATGACCTCTACCTTCCCCACTTTCTCTTACTAAGAAGTTCCTGTATAATCATGTGCTTTTATTCATCTGTTCTTCACTAATAATACTTATTCTTAATGAATATGTGATTGAATAATGAATTGGATTTTCTGATGGTATCTATATAATTGATCATCTAAACTAGGCTCTCTGGACAGTCAAGAGGTATGATCAATAATTTCACCAAGACAACAAGTATACATTGTATTTGCTTAAAGTTAAGTAAACAGTATTTTCTTCCCTTAGGTAGGCACTATTGGCACTTAGGGTACAATAGAATTCAACATTCATATTGGAGATGTGATATTTTTCACTGTTAGAACCCAGCACTACATTAAAAGCACATGTGATTAGGATTTGCTTTTTATTCTTGCCTTCAAACCTGAAGACCAGGTGAGAATAAGCCAGTTAGAGAGAGATTGCCAAGTGTCAGTGTTCTTCATAATATTCTGCTAAGCAATGTGTCTGGACCAAAGGGAGCCCTCATTAAATGTCTATTAAATGAATAAATTAATAAACTGGATGAATCAACATGTGAACAGGAGAATTAAATAGTCTTCTCATTTCTTTATAAAGGGATCCAATATATCACATTCTGTCTTAATGTTCCAAATTTGGAACCCAGAAAAAGGATCAAAATGTCAATATATACAGATCTATGAAATCACTTTTATTAGTAATAAGTCAAGTTTTAGAGAATGTACTAATATTGTGGGCAGGTGGTTTCCAGATAGTGGTCCCCAGAATTGGATAGACCTCCCCATGTTGAGGCAGGTTTTTGTATACCTTATGGCATAAAGTAAAAGAGCATACTCTTGGAAGGTTTGCTAGCTCCCAAGGAAAAAGGGGTAGGAGATGAAGTGAGCATGCCCAACTTTTTCTTTTCAAGTGTACTTGAGGGGGGAAACTCATGGGGAGAGGAAAAAAAAGAGAAATGGAGTTTCTTCTATATGAAGAGAAACTTCAGGAATAGTGAAGTATCATTTCTTCCCTTTCATTCTTTATTTTAAGAAATCTATGATGACCTGTGTATACAAAACATAGACTAAGGTAAATTGTTCACTGCACTAAATACTTATTTGCTTTAAAAAAAATCACCCCATAGGCTCCTTAATTAGATGAAATAATAGGTTTGAGAGACAAGGATTTACTGTGGAATTTAGATTTGAAAAATCCTTAGGACGAGGTTGCCTTTTGAGACTGGGTGGGAAGTAAAACAGTCTGATTTGGGATCCCTGGGGTGAGTCCAGGAATAGACAGGCATTTCTCTTGGCTGTGGTTCTTCCTACAAGGAGAACCACCATGGCCTCCAGGGAGGAGCACAGATGAATTCTGCAGTCTCTTCAACAGGGCCTAAGCCCAAAAGTGCATCTGATCTTGGTAATACTCATTTTCCAGAATGATGCCCTCCCTTCCTTGAGGGAGACTGGCAATTTATAGCCCTCGGGTCTTAAAACCTTCCTGAGTCTACCTGGTGAGAGGTTTATGGAGAGTTGTATGAGAAAGAGTGGAACTTTGGCTGTAGATGTTGTTGGCAGGGGATGGTGGGGAGGAGGGATTCTGGTGACCCCTAATTTTGGTGTGGGTCTCACTGCTACTGCTGCCCTCTTGGTCATCATTCTCAATGGCCATTATAAGAACAAATCATAAAGCAAAATCAGATCAAATAAAATCTAAATAAGAAATGAAAGGAAAACTCAAAGAGAGCAAGTTAAAGTTTAAAAAGGAGAGAATAAAAGAGAATTGAAAAATGAATAGAATAAAAAGGTTATGTATGTGCAAAATATGACAACGGTAAAATGTTACAAATCGAAATTAATATAGAGGTAAAATAAACAAGATTTAATGTGACATGAAAGGCTAATACCAATAAATTAAAGCTTAAAAATACAAAAGTAAGATAAAAATGACAATTGAAAACCATTAAATACAAAACCCGAATTACAGATTACAAATCTTTTAAAAAGAGAAGTGAAATAGGGAGTTTTCAAATGAAAGAAAACAAGAAGTGATTTACAACAGGAAAGAAATAATTGAATCAGAATTTGGGGGTAGAAGTAATTTTTTCACTCCTCACCTACCCTCAGGAATGTCTGATTTTCACCTTGATGGAGGATAGTACCCCTCGCCCCCCATCAGAGTAAGTGATGGGAAATGCCTCTGATGGGGATGTGTTTGGCATAAGGAGTGTGGAGGGAAAAAGGAGGTAGGAAGCATAGGCAGGCAGAGAGAGAGAGAAAGGGAACATAGAAACACAGAGAGAGTCACACACATACAGAGGGACAGAGGAAAATAGAGATAGATATATGGAGAGACACACAGAGGACGAGACACATATACACGCAGACATACAGCTTTAAATAAAGAGAAAGACAGAGAAGCAGACATGCAAAGAGTGACACAAAGAGAGAGAAACAACACAGTCATACACAAATAGGAGACACAAAATCATGCACACAGAGAGGGACAGAGACCTGAAGAGAGACAGAGAGATTGAAGGAAAGACACACAGACACACACATGCCCACATACAGACAGACCTGTACCCAGGAGAAAGACAGACACACACAAGGACAGACCTACACAAAGACAAACACACACAAACATAGACACATGCAGACAAGAGAGATTCAGAGGCAGATGTGCATAGAGGTATGCACAGATAGACACAGTGAGAAAGGTAGATGTGCATGCATGCGCGTGTGCACACACACAGAAATTGAGAGGCAGACTGAGAAAGAGGAATGTCAGAGAAGAGTGGGGGGGGGGGAAGAGAGAGAAGGACAGCAACAGCCATATAGGGGATAAAGGCAGACACAGAGCATCAGGCCCAGTCCACTGGACATCCAGGCCTGGCAGATGGTGATTACTAGCCCCAGCAGAAAGAGACCATCTGGGCATGGAGTTCTCAGAAGCCGTTTTGTCTCTAGGCCCAGCTCATGGGAAGACAGATGGTCCTGCTCCATCCTTAAGGAGAATCACCTCCCAGTAGGACAGAGGTTCCTTCTAAAAAAGTTTCAGATGCTTCAGCCCCTCTAGTCATCAGACTTTCCCTACCACACAGAGTTGAAAAGGTGAGCGCTCCATGGCAAAGTAAGACTAGTATACAAGGTGACCATTAGCAGAAGGTCAGCTGTGCAGGTTGCCATGTACCGTGAGGTACTACAAATGCCTCGACAGCTGTAAGATCTCTGCAGGGATCTGAGTAGTTAGATGCTGACATACCTTCTTTTGGTTTACACTATCAGCTGCAAACCCTTGACATGGATGATTATATCCAGGCTACAGCTGACCACATCTTGGCCCAGCTTTTCTTCAGGAAGCAAAATGAATTTAACAAGAGCCATCGATTTAAGGAGGACCAGATAATCAACCTGCCTTAGAGTTGCTGGTGAGTTGCTAATTGTTCTTCCTTCCCATTTCTTGTTAGTGCTGTTAAAGAAGGACCACTTTGTTAATGAGCTTGGAGCTCTTTACAAAGTGGAAGTGGGAAAGCAGGTTTGAAGCAGCCTGAGGGGCTCAGTTAGCTGTCAGTGACTATGGGCACTTCACGCTATGGGAAAGTTTCAATACACTCTGTAGATTAGCAAATCTATGGGGAAGACCCAATAAATTAATAGATTTTTATATAGATATTTAGCATGTGTGTATATAGTTGTTTACTTTCCTTTTATTACTTCAGATTTATTATTCCAAATGTAAAACCATTCTTGTTATGTCCACCAGTAAAACTTAATACATTGCAAATATTTTGTTAATAATCGTTGTGAAATGAAGTAAAGAGGTTAGCCTACCTATATACATATTAAGGCACTGGAACCCAGAAACTCAAACCTCCTCTGCAGAGTTTATAAAGAACCCTAGACTAGCAATTCTCAATCCTTTCATTGGCATGAGATACTTTCAATAATGCCAACATTTTCAAGGGCTCATTAACACTGATTTTATATTAGCTGAGAAAATATTAATGATAAACTGATTATAAACTCAATACACCATCTTTAAATGTATTTGGATTTTATTAATCACACCATCATCTATTTATACTTGACAAATAGTCATCCCTGTGTTTCAGAAGCATATGGTTTATTTTGTCTATTGGTAATGCTGCCTATAAATTCAAGGATACCTTATTATCATTCTGAAGCTGGTAGTCTACAAGTTAGGGGTTACTGTCTTAAGTAAAAAATAATTTGTTTAGGCCTAATCTGGACTTAATTTTTGTTTGCAATGTATTTTATTTATTTATTTATTTTGAGAAAAAGTCTCACTCTGTTGCCTAGGTTGGAGTGCTGTGGCATGATCTCAGTTCAATGCCTCCGCCTCCCAGGTTCAAGCAGTTTTCATGCCTCAGCCTCCCAAGTAGTTGAGATTACAGGGACACACCACCATGTCCAGTTTGTGTTATAGTTTAGAAATATAGCGGCGGCTCACGCCTATAATGCCAGCACTTTGGGAGGCCGAGGAGGGTGAACATGGTGAAACCCCGTCTCTACTAAAAATACAAAAAAAAAAAAAAAATTAGCTGGGTGTGGTGGCGCACACCTGTAGTCCCAGCTACTCAGGAGGCTGAGGTAGGAGAATTGCTTGAACCTAGGAGGCGGAGGTTGTGGTGAGCTGAGATTGCGCCATTGCACTCCAGCCTGGTTTCACAAGAGTGAAACTCCGTCTCAAAAAAAAAATATGTATATATAAAAACTATTTGTATTTTTAGTAGAGATGGGGTTTCACTATGTTGACCTGGTTGGTCACAAACTCCTGTCCTCAAGTGATCCACCACCTCGACTTTCCAAAGTGCTTGGATTACAGGCATGAACCACTGTGTCTGGTCTTGTTTGCAGTTTATTTCAACAGGTATTTGGTACACTTGCAATGCAGTGGCTCCCACCATGAGTTCTGAGTTCTGGACTACCCTATATAAAATTCTAAAGTAGATATGGCTGGGTTTTAATGACTTTGATCCAACCCCTTTCAGTCATTGCCTTAAGGTCTAGCGGGACTTTTAAAAAGATATTTTAGGCTGCTTCATCCTAGGCTACAAAGAATCTCTCTCTCTCTGTCTCTCTCTCTCTCTCTCTCTCTCTTTCTCTCTCTCTCTCTCGTTAGTTCTTTTGATTCCAAGTACAGAATTTAGTGAAAATCAGGAATAGCTCACTTTTTCCAGGGGGAGGTAGTCACCTCCATAATGTACTAATGTACTTCAGGAACAGGACAACCTCTCTCTGCCCTTGACTATTTGTTTATCTAGCTATTCATTTACTAAACATTTACAAGCAATGGCTATAAGTGAAGCATTATGTTAGATGTTAGTGATATAAAATTGACTGTTAAATGATCTTTGTCCTGAAATAGCTTACAGCCTATAAAAAAACACAGAAAATGGCTCAAGCCTGTAATCCCAGCACTTTGGGAGGCCGAGGCGGGTGGATCACGAGAGATTGAGACCATCCTGGTCAACATGGTGAAACCCCGTCTCCACTAAAAATACAAAAATTTAGCTGGGCACGGTGGCGCGTGCCTGTAATCCCAGCTACTCAGGAGGCTGAGGCAGGAGAATTGCCTGAACCCAGGAGGCAGAGGTTGCGGTGAGCTGAGATTGCGCCATTGCACTCCAGCCTGGGTAACAAGAGCGAAACTCCGTCTCAAAAAGAAAAAAAAACACACACACACACACACACAGGAAAAAACAGTAATACATTATAATAATGCTACGATAAATATACATTATAATAAGTGATATATATGTACATACACACATACAAAGGATATATGTGTACATGCATACCTCAATGAGACACCAAATTCAGCTATGGGGTGCGAGGTAGAGGGTGTCAAGAAGTTTTCCTGGAATAGCTCTAAATGAAGATTAAGAGTTAGCCAAAACATGAAGAGGAAGAGGGTGTGTGTATGTGAGAAGGCTGCTTCATAGTGAAGGTTGAAGGAGCCCAGGCATGGAAGTATGAGAAAACAGTTCATTGTGGCTGGAAAATAGAGGCCCAGTGGTAAAAGATAAGGGTGGAGAAGGGAGGAATCAGGTTGGAAAAGACCTGTTATCCCTAGATCCACCTTATTGTGAAATTAGCTATTGTCCTTTTCTGGGAGAGCTAGGCAATCTGAGAGCATGGTAGCAATGAGACATTTGTGGTGGTGTTGGTGTTTTAAAGAGACTTTATAGTAAATGTTCACAATCCAGGAGGAGGAGTATAGTTGAGAAATGTAGTGAACAGCACGGGGCAATGGGTATGTGGAAGAGGATGTCCAAATAGAAAATAATCATAAAACATAAATGTTAATGTATGCAGAGTTTACTAGTTTTGTTTTACTTTGGGTTTTAAAAAATATGCTATAAACCAGGTCATAATTCATTCTCTTATATCAGGAAATATTGTATCAGATTACAATGTAGTCATTTAATAAAGATTTTTGTATCTTCATTTATTATTTTGTCATTGCAATTTTGAATAGAATCTGTTCTAATAGTTTTGCATATTTAAGACACTACTGGATTCCTTTTAGGCATTCTTCGGGTATGATTTATCATTACCTAAAGAAAAAATGGGCCAGGCATGGTGGCTCATGCCTGTAATCCCAGAATTTTGGGAGGCTGGGGTGGGCAGATCACCTGAGGTCAGGAGTTGAGAATAGCCTGACTAACATGGTGAAACCCAGTTTCCACTAAAAATACAAACATTTGCTGGCTTGATGGTGCATGCCTGTAATTGCAGCTAGTTGGGAGACTGAGGCATGAGAATTGCTTGAACCCGGGAGGTGGAGGCTACAGTGAGCTGAGATTGTGCCACTGCACTCCAGGTCTAGGCAACAGAGTGAGACTCAGACTCAAAAAAAAAAAAAAAAGGAAAAATATAATACATTATAATGTTGGAACTTTCTCTATTTTCTTATAATAATATACTTAAAGTCTGGTTTAGGAATTTAATCCACTGTGAAATTAAAAAAGAAAACCCTTAAAAATAAAAATAACCTAATAAAACAACCCCACTGAAATATTGTTGATATATTATTTTACAGTGGGAATATGTTCTTTCACTTCATGAATTTTTTTTTCCTTTCTTGAGATGCTATTTCTTTATACTGCTTTATTATTCAGGGTAAGTTTGTCTACTAGCCCTTAAGTGCTTTTAGGGTATTTGGTGTATCTACTTTAAAAATCAATGTACTGAAGTGCGAATTGCTCAGTCATATTGATATTTGTTATCTTGTAGGCAAAAAACAGACTTTTGACTGAAAACCTCTTTTAAAATTGAATTCACCCTGACAACTTTATACACACATTCTATGATATAGCCACACATGATGAATTTGATGCATAAATTATAGTTCATAAAATATACTTAGATATTGAAAAAGATTTTTAAAAAGAATTTTCTTTTTAACAGCAGCTTTAACTAACTGAGTAGAATGAATTTAATTTGATACAGGAACTACAGGTTAGGTAAAGAACCACTGCATGCTCCTTATTGCTTCTAAATAGTGGAAAGTGGTTATAAGACTTTCTTTGTTCATACTCTCATCCTTACTTAGCGGGGCAGGAGTCACTGGGCTGCTTTTTATCACCCAAATGACTGAAGGAAAGGAAAATGGTTGCTGTTGCTATATAACTTGATTCTCAACTACCGTAATTTATCAATGGTCAAAACCAAGTAGGCAACATAATTTTATTGCTTAAAAATGAAAAAAGAAAAAGTTACAGTGATTTTGTGTTATAATTAGAATTTACAAGTGATGTATCCTCCATGTTTTTTACTAATCATATCTTTATGAAATTGATATGTGTATTTTGGATCACTATCCTCTGGGGGAGAAAAGAAAAACAGGAAGAAACTGGAGAATCCAGAAAATAATAGTGATGGCCAAAGAAATGGGAAACTGTTTTCATCATGTACTTAAATTGAAACTATATAGAAAACATCAGTTAAGGGATACCTTTGAATCAGAGAAGTGCAGAGCTGTAGAGGCCATGTAACATCTGGTCCCATTAATTTGTAGAAATGGTAACAGATCTGAGAAGTCTAAATTGCCTAGACTGCAAGTAAGATATTTGAGACCAAAGTTCAGGTCTTCCCACCTCTACTCTGTAATATTTTGGGGCTAGTGTCTTTAAGTGTGTGAAAGATTGCTTTACAGGAAGCAGAAGTATCTATTAGCAAATACGCCATCTTCAAGTGGGATGGATGTCTTCTATCCCTTACAAATCAGCCAGCCCCAGCCTCAGCACTGCTGCTGCTTTGCAGGGCTTTCCACACCCGTGGTGCTTGGGTTCCAGAGGCTTCTGTGAAGAGGTGGTCAGAGCCTCCTGAGAAAACAGTTCACTGTTTCTGTCTAGCCAAGCACTCAATACTTGTTTTTTATTTTTATTCAAAATTATTATGG